AGCACTGTATTGAAAAATACAAGTTAATTCCCTTCTGACTTTCAGCAAATTACATTTGAAGAAAAAAGCCATGATAATTTTTTTTTTATATATATCGTTTTTTTCTTCATAACAAGTGTCATTTGAGATATATTCAAGAAATCAAGACAAAAATGTTTTAAAATAGAGTTAATGCCCTGGCTCTAAGCAGAGAATTATCTCAAGAACGTTCACAAAGTCATTATCCAGGGCTGGACACTAATAGGCGCCCAGGGCACATGGGCACCTATAATCTAAGTCCAGACTCCCATAATTTTAAAGTTTTCACATAAGGCCCTCACATGCAGAATGTAAAACGCTCAATCTCAACCCCCTTTGAAAAAACTTAGTGTGGAGCCAGGGAGCCTTGCATTATGGATTCATTTATAAGGTCATTATACAGTTTGCAACAGTGGAAAACAACTTGAAATGAATTAAATACTAGTTAATTATCAACATATCTTACAAGGCTAATGACCGCATGTAAATGACATCAAGGTCAAGATAGATATGCAAGAACTGACAAATACAAAGAAACACAATGACATGGGCATATCTTGTAAAGATTAAAACATACTTAGGGGTCATTCACATGGCGGGTGATTAGTGCAATCAAGATATTACTTTTTTGTCTGTGTGAACAAACAAAAAAGAGATTAAAACATATTCAAGGGTCATTCACACAGAGCAATCAGTACAATCAAAACATCATTTTTGGTACATGTGTGAACAACCAAATAAAAAGAAGAAAAAAGAAATATATAATGAAATCAATATATCACTTTGTGTGTGATGTAGGTACATACATGTATATGGGTATGTGTGAAAAAAGAGCTAAGGGTCATTTACACAGAGAGCCATCAATGTTATTAAAATATCATTCTTTTCAATGTGTGAACAAAATAATCCCACTCCTTAGATATGTCCACTCTGTGCTATAACCAAGGTCAATGGAAGAGTATTGATTGTATATAACAGGGCCCCTGTCTTATATTTCATAATATATCATACTATATATAAAATTATAAATCATACTATATCGTATTTATAATACATGACCCAGGTGTGAAGGGCACACAAAAGGGAGAACTGAACTCCCGTTCAAATCAAATTATTTTTCCTAGTGTGAATGGGGTTATATACTGACCGATGAGAGAGAGAACTGAACTGAAAAGGATTTGAGATGCTTGATTTCTCAAGAGTGCATCATTCACAATTAGTATCTAATTGCTCACTTTAGTATGTTCAGACATTGTCCAAATGAAAGTGTATACACCAGGATGTACACTTTCTTTATCTGATAACGAAGACCAAGTGATCGAAACTGTATATACATGTACAAGTATGTATGGTCTCTATTTCAAGAAATGTTGAGTCTATCCCCTTTCTAAAGGCCATGGCAAGTCGAGAATCTCGAGCCATCATCGTTTTAGCATTTTACATTCATCTTCTCCTTGTCAATATACATTGCCAGAGCTAAATTGCAAGCTACGACTTACGCTGTCATATCGGCAGACATATCTGCATCATCTGGACATCGCAAAGGGCATATAATGGATTAAATCTACAGCATACATTACACTGTATGTCTGTAGCAGATTAGGAGTCTTACAAGGCTGTGTAGCATGCCTAGTTGTGAGACAGATGCTCCAACAACAATTGATCGACAATAAATGTCCTACACAAACCAAGGAACTCCTTGCATATTAATTAACTTCTCAACTCCAACCCTGGACTACATAATCACTTTATGTAAAGCCTAACCCAGTGGTAATAGTGATAATACTGGTAGTTTGTTTTTTTACAGGTTTTAGTGAGAGTAAAAAATGTAAAGGTTTTAGAAATCCAAGCGAAGCGAGGTGCCGAGTGATTATGCAAGGCGTTCAAGCAAGTCATGAGAAAAGGGCATCTCACCCCCCCCCCCCCCCCCCCCATTTTAAACTGGATTTAAATCAATCTCAGGGACTATCCATTTTTGGATGGAAAAAATCAACAACAACAAAAATCTGGATTTTTTTTTTTGATTTTTTTTAAATCAATAATCAAGAAACCGATTTAAAACGGGAAAGTATCAGGCCTGGCCTAACCCAAAAACAATTACAACTTATACGGTAGCCGTTACTGCACATATACCTTGACAAACGAATGCCCAGGGCAATTGAAATTGGAGCATGTGTCGGATCACCATAAGTAAGTAACACAGCTGAATGGTGCACAGGACGAAAATGATCAATAATATTTGCCAGCCATTTGGCTCAATATCATCAGAGTAGATAACCTGATACGCTACACACAGCTTGAAACACAGATTTACAATGGCCTCATTTGATTATCATCAATTGACCCCATTATGTTGTTCAGTATCTAGAGTAAGGACATGTACCGTAGTACTTATAACAGTACTTATAACAGTACTTTCAACAGCAGGCCTATAATATGACTGTATGACACAGAACAGGAAATAGGGTATTCATGTACTGAATGTAAATACATGTATATATCCCCCCCCCCCCCCCCCATAGCTTGTTTATTTTTAACAAGTGCATCTCATGATCAATTTTATTCTTTGACTGTTGAATAAATCCCATCCTCCAAAAGGCCTACTGTGTATTTTCATACACAAAATGACATGTTGGTGAAATATAATTTTGACATAAAGACAGTAAAAAGAGGAAATCAAAATAACCCTTATTTGCACTCAAACCATATGCTGCTAATCGAATATTATATCTTCAATCCAAAAATCTGTGGATGAGGCGTATTGATCATTTTCTGAGGTGTTACAAATGTATACCCATTCAATAAAAGATACAACAATGCACATGGTCAAAAGTTACAGCAGTAAGGTGGAAAATGGAAATCAAGATATTAATAGTCAAGGCGGAAATGCACATATTTTATAGAATTGTCTGTGCATCATAGGACCTACTATTGTAAATACAACGGAAACTTGAAACCTACACAAGTATGTATTCCATTTTAAGTCAGTCTTGCAAATTGATGAGCTACAACAGAAACTATACAATGGGACATTGAAGTCAAAGACAAGAAAAAAAAGCTACCCCAGTACTTGATTTATGCAAATTTGCAAAATATCTTTTAATTTTGCATGTGAATTACAAGGATAATATTATGAATCTTCACTGCAAATTATTGTCAAGTTACTTGAATTAACCAATAAATTGTTGGAGAAAGATAAACAGATACAATAACTCATTTCAAATTTGCTATGTGTCATGTGATAATCAATATCATCTTCCCCATCCCATTGTATTTCAATTTTTTTCTGAATTTATGAATTAATTGAGTCTTTTCTTTTTAATTAAGTTTGTAGATATATATTTTATATTACATGTAAAAACCCTTCTTTCTAAGTACATGTAACTAGTGTATACCGGTATGTATATATTTTGAAAAGAAAAGAAAAAGAAAAGAAAAAGAAAATCAGATGCTTAAAATATTTTCAATACAAGGTCAGGGTGTAATGAAAAATGTATTGACAGATGTGGTAACTGTGATATCAATAGAAATTACATACTGGTGAAGATCTTTGTAAATGTATCACAGTTACTGTATATCTCTTACAAATAATGGCTTTCTCAGGTTTTCTTTTTTTCAAATTCTGCTGGTCCTTTGAGTGTTATTGAATAACACCCCGAAAAATGGCTTGGATAGGATCCAAGAATGAGAAGGCTCGTCTTATTGTCCTGATACCAAAACATATCAATTACATATTTCCCAACTTTGCGGTATGCCATGTTCGTTTTCATCTGTTCTTCTCAACAAACAAATCCACATACATGTATTTGAGCAGAAAGATCATAATGTCGCTGCACTTTGCCTGTTTTTGTAAGATTACATCTATGGATAAAACCAAAAATTAAAAATGGAATATACCGTGTATAGACATGTACTATGTACAGTTTTTAATTGGATATTGAAAAATTGTATAGTATTATTTTTACAATAAAAAATAAAAATTTGAAGTTTTCCAATAATTCAATATACCGGTATTCAATTAATATCGGTGTTGAGACTTTGAAGAGTTCAGATTTTTAACATAAATAATATTATATCAAACTTTTAACAAACTCTGTCTTAAATGGATTAAAATTAAAGATACATTTGTGTTTTTAAAACCCCCTCCCCCCCCCAAAAAAAAAAAAAACCCACTATAGGCATTCAAACATGTAGCATTACAAATAAGTGACTGCAACATATTTCTAATCTTATCTAAAAAAAAAATTAAATACATATACTGTACATGTACATGTACATATAATCAGGAGTTGTTGAAACAAAATTATTTGTTGATGAGCACAAACAAAGATAATATAAGATAAAATATTTGGAATATGATGGCACTATAGACACTGGCGTCACGGTGTGATCTGAACTCTAGAACATAACATTTCCTAAGCAATTTCTTCCTTCCTGATTTTCTTTCTTCCTGTTTACCTTGATCATCGAGAGTACTGCACATTCTATTTTTGATCATTTTCCAACAACATGCCAATTCATCTAAAGCTAATCATGAGCTCTCAGTAGTATGGGCATCGTATGTCGAGAGAACATATGGCTATAATGATTTCATTCTGGATTGTTTATCCTGTAGTAGATCGATTGTTTGAACCAGGAAAATAATCCACAATATCTTGGCATAATGGAATCATCGATACAGAGCTCAACACTACAGCGTAACAGACATATGGGACACATGGACCCCAAAATTGTGAAATGTTCACATCCTGGGGCTCATGTACATGTATACAGCCGGTAAAAAGTTCAATCCGGGCCCTTACCAAAAAAGAAAGTGTAGAGCCTTTATCAATAAATCATGATGCTATTTTCTTAATTATATCTTGTGGAATGGCCAGTTCAAGCACAAAATTAATGATGTACAAAGAAATCAACACAGTTAACATGACCAAGATGAATTTGTTAAAAAAGTGAAATTTCTGTTGTTTACAAATACTTGTTTCAAGAAATACCTCAAAACATGCTTGGAATTCTACACTCTTCAACTTGACACTGTACAAAGTTCGGTTTGACACAAGATGTACATGTAGTTCCTTAACTTGCAATTCTTGAGTTGTAATTAATCTGAAGTGTCCTTTTTTCTCAATCCTAATACTTAATTGTTGCAAAAAGCAGAACAGAAAGTTTAACAAATAAGGAAGTACAGAAAAATGTGTTCCATATCATGGATGGATGGAATTATAACAAAAATTCAGAGCACAATGTAATAACACAGGGACACGTTTCATGTCTACCATTTTCTCTCACCAACTTCAGACAGGAATGTTCATATTTATCACTTCTGGAAGTAAAGTTTCCAAATCCATTAACAAAATTCAAGTCTTCTTTTCAAAGTGTGTCCAGTGATTCTTTTAATACTGTATACTTAAATCAACAAAAGTATAATTCTAAGTTAATAAATAACATGAAAAATATCTCAATAAATGCGTAATTGCGGACCCTTGCAAAGCAAAATTCTCAAAGATTGTATTTACAATTTTTGCTCTTCTTCATCCCAGCAATGCTAGTCTCCTACATTTGTACGTCGAATACTGAAACATATAGTCTACCATACTTAATAATGATAATAATAATCTGTTCTTGCGTAGTGCATATCACATTATGATATAATGTCTCTATGGGTAACATTGTTTGTTTTACAATCATTACAATCATTGGTATTCAACTATCTCAATTTCAGACCATCAAGCAAAACATTAACATTATGTAGTAAAGGAAATTGTATTAATTATTGTGTGGAAAGAAAAATAAATCATGTTTGTTTAATTTTAATACTACATATATGGAACATTTCAGTAGCTCTATTAAACACTATTTAATTTAATCCTGTCGTATCAGAAGTGGCAAGTTAGGCACAATAATTTTAGATTACCCATTAATATCACTATGATATTTCAATACTGTATGTTAGAAAATTATGTCCACACAATGTCAGATTTCTAAAATCCTCACAGCTACTAAATAAATATTGTAGTTGTCTTTAGACTGCTTTGGCATTTAAATGTAATGATTTACTACAGCACAGCAAGCTACCTACAATCAGGCAATTAAGGGCATCACACTGGCTTATAATGAATGCTAAAAGCTTTTCAAAGAAAATTACTGAGTTGATGAATTGTCAGCTCTAAGTTCATCAAACGTAACCATAATGTCTATTTATAGGGACGTGTATTGTGTTTCATACACTGTAATGTCCAATTTTTAAGCTGGTGAATTGATCTCTTCCATTCAATACCAACCATGCAAAACTGATACTAAATATATATGTATATGTGAAACTGTACAGGATGAACAGTCAGTACAGGTGTACATACTGTTTACGAAAGTATTCAAGCCTACAGCATGTAAAGTTTATCCAATATACATGTACATGTACATTGTACATGTATCTATGAAGCATTGAGACCTACTGTACATGTACATAAAGCATCAGTATTTCTTGTCACTCAGTTTTCTTTAAAAAACCAACTATGTGTAATAAAAAACTTTGATAATAATAAACAATTACATACATGTACATGTAGTGTATTAGGATTTTGGATATTTATTGTTCAGCGTTTGGGGCATTTTAGTCAGCTTCAGCCTCAATTACTATAAAAAAATCATCAATATTTCTAGTTCTACACTTCATCTGTCTGTTTTGAGCCAGAAGGGCGTTAACTCTGTGTAAAATATAAGCGAACGCCCTTTCGGCTGCAAAACGACAATTACTTTTCAGTTTTTGCATTTCTGTACTTTTCAATGTAGTATATTGAGCCATTTCTTTAGACAAAAAATATTGAATTATTACACATTATATAACTGTAGAAGAATGTGTTCTTCTCATAAACTTACATACACTGTACATTGGGGGTCAAAGGTCATCATACAGTACATTCCCGTAATGTTCATCATAAACCTTGTCATATCCCCCACTCCATAAAGCATCTTAAATAATTACAGTTTAGTAGAAGAATGGCAATAGGAAGCCTAGATGATTTGATCAGACAGAAAAGCAGATAATGGCAAGCCTACAAGACAATTTTTTTCTTTGGCATTTGTGTAATTCTCCCAGGCTCTAACTACATGTATATTCATACTGTTACATTTTTAACCCTGTATTACTTTTACGCTATGTTTTTGGTCAATAATAAAATAAGGGGCTAATGACCTCTGGCAGATGCTTCAACCTTCAAAATCAAGTCACATTATTTCATTGTCAGTGCTTTTCCCTAAAACTTTATTCAATAAAATAGATTTCAGGGAACTTGTAGTTTTTGTAAAGCAAATTTAGTCCAAATTATTTTAACACTATTGCATTTCAAGAGGTGACGCACTTGGCTTTCCAAGCTTTCATTAACACGGACATTATTTTCTAAGTGTGCTTGCCAATGTTGCCATCATTTCATTGAAACAAAGAAGAGATGTAAAAATAATAGAAACTTCTCACACGTTAGCTTGCTTGAACACTAGCAGCAGGAATGGAACTGTGCACATTGCTTGAGCAACTTTGGTCCTTAAAGGAAACACAGGAGTTGGAATCTTCTTCAGAGCAAACTGTTGATCCTGACTCAGATTCTGGCAAGGAATCAATGGTAGCATTTTGAGAGCATGCTTGTGTGGGAAGTACCTCTGTGCTATTTGAAGCAGCATCTGAATTGGCATCCCCACCAGCACCTGGCTGGGCATTGTCTTGTTCCTGGTTGGAGGACTGTGGGTCTTGACCAATGACGTTATCACCAGAACCGCTGGGAGTGGATTCCACAATGGCACTATGGCATAACGGACAATTCTCCTGCACATAGAGCCACTTCCGCAAGCAGATACTGTGGAACAAATGCTTGCAGGGGGTGATGCTTGCCGACTGCATCTCTTCATAGCAGATTGGACAGAGGTCTTTCTTGGAGGACAGCTCTGCAGGGTCTGCCTTGGGGAGGTGGCTGATTTTCCTTGATGCGTTGCGACGTTTCATGAAGGAAGTCCATCCCGCTTGAGCACGTTGATACACGTTGAAGTAGGAATGCACCACAATTACCAAGCCGCCAGTGAGGTTGTAGCTGGCATTCATTGATTCCAAGCCCCCATAGCAGAGGACAAAAAGAGCCAGGAAAAACTCCAGGATGTGGCACAGAGACTGGATCATATAGACGACATCGTCCAGTGATTCCCAAGGTGTTTCGTAGCGATGATCCACCATGAAGAGGGCATAGATCAAGACCGAACCCAGCGTCTGAATAGCTGTCAGCAGGCAACTGGACACAATGATCAACAGCCACAGCTCCATGTCGAAGATGGTAAACACCATGTAGCTCATGTACAAAGGAACAGACATCAAAGCAAAACTGAGGGCCAGAACTTTGACATGTTTCCCTACGCTGCGGTTGTTAGACGCTCCAAGAGACAATAACACTGGGTTGGTCAGCTCATGGATGGATTGGATTGTAGACGAGATCACGATAAAGAGAACAATACTGAGGAGGAGGATTTTCTCGAATTTCTTGAGGCTGAGGAGGCCTGTCTGCATTGCCAGCAACATCAGAGTCACCCCTTCGGTCCATCCTCTGTGGAGGAAATCTCTTTGTTCTCCTTCATTGAATCCCTTCAGGTAGATCTTACAGAACGTCAGTACAATATACGCGGTATAGGACACTGTAAAGCTGAGGCCAACCAGGCTCCAGGGGCTGACGCAACAATCAGCAACGGATGCAAGGAGAATCAGAACCCACTTCTCCTGGACAGCCATGTGGCTCTTGTTGACGAAGTACGAGTAAAGCTGGTACATGAATATCGTGATCCAGAACACCAGGTAAATCGCGGGCACAAAGAACCTGTTGTACAGAGCCAAGACGACGCTGACAATACCGTACAACTCAACGTACTCCTGCAGGGTCTGTAACCCGATGAGGGCAAGGCGGTACGGCACCAGGATGTGCCTCAGGGTGAAGACGGTGACAACCACTATGCTGATGATTTCCGCAACGGTGTGCATGATCACCCCGAAGGGCACCGACAGCCCGCAAGCACGTGCAAGAAGTGGCAAAAGGTACGGCGCAAAGGCCCAGAGATGCCTGGTCTTGAGTAGCTGAGCGCAAACCACGCAGATCCCCAGCTGGAGACCGATGAACATGAAGAGCTGATGAACGCTGGGGGTGGTGTTGTAGACCGACTCATGGCTTGCAGGGTCGGCCTGAGCTTGTAGGGCAAGGTAATGGCTGGAGAGGTGGTGGGATGCAAGGATCAGTATGCCCACGATCATGTGAACGTAGAACTTGAAGAGCATATGAAGTGGTAGGGCATGCAGCAATAGGGCAATCAGGTAACCTGCATTGCAAAGAGAAGAGAAAATAAAAATGTTCATTGAAAACACATTAAAATAATTCTGATAACATTTACACCAAAGGTTTAGTACAGACTTGTCAGATTTATATCAGTTGAAAAGAAGAAAAAACAGGTAACAGATGTACAGTACATGGAAATTAAAAAATAAATTGAAAACATGAAATGAAAATTTAATCAGACTACAAGTACTGAGATGCTAGAAATATAACCCTGAAAAAAAAGCATTCCTATCCTTAGGACATGTTGATACTTGATATTATCATAAATGTTGAACATCACATGATTTCAAGATTTCAATTTCAATTCAGCTCAGTATACGCTTCATCATGATCATGCTACATGTACACAAATACACATAGGTCTAGATCCACATGTACTTGCATGTTTTGCATGATTACAAGGAAACAAAACGAGGAAATACATAAATTTTCAGTCTTCATTAGTAAGAAAAACACATGTAAATGCAACGCCCCCCCCCCCCCACCCCCATCATTCTTGTTGCTTAATTTTTGGCGAATGCCATTTGTAGCATTTTAAACCATGCGAAAGTGCTTATTTCCATTTAGCACAATCGCTTCAGTTATGATAGATCTAGAATTAGTAACTGAGTTTCTGCGGAGTCGGGCTAATTAGGCCCACGGGACTACTCGGACCAGCTGGAAAAACTGGGCCGAGATGTCCCGCCCTAATTAATCGATCGAGAGATACCAATGTGAATGTGTATATCATGTTTGTGTAGATCTTTATTTGTGTACGTTTTTTGTCATTTTACCTAAAGATAAGTTATAGATTGTTTTCATTAGTATCATTTAACACAATTCCATTAAAGATTGTGGTTGGAAAGGGCATTATTAAGTCACAAAGAGCACAAACATATACACATTGGTATCTCTCGATCGATTAATCAGGTCGGGACATCTCGGCCCAGTTTTTCCAGCTGGACCGATTAGTCCCGTGGGCCGAGTTAGCCCGGATCCGTTTCTGCTTACCGATATATTGAGCACCAAGAGTCAATTTCTCTGGTGCAACCCCAAGCTTTTCCACCATTTCATTGTTCAGCACATCGCTCTCTTCAATCAGCTTCTGGGCCCTCGAATGGTAGAGAGATTCCAGAATAAAAACACTTGGAAGGCGAAGAGCAACGTTGGAAAAACGAAGCAGATTTGGTTTTCCAAGATCCATGTTGGCTTTTTCTGTTACCTTACAGAGTGATACAGACGATATTGAGTCTGACTCTGTGTGTCAAATGAACTTAAGAAGTCACACATTATTGTAACATGTAGATTCTAGTACAACCTTTTGTTTACGATCATAAAACATGGGCTCGGGAACGGGCAGGGCGTGGATGGAGCCTCAGTCCGACTCAGTCTGTCTGAGAACTGGAAAACGGCCTGAAACTGAAAAGAAAGCGGCTCGCGTCTCGTTAACGTCGTTTCTTAATGACTGTTGATTATCTCAGCAGTCGACGAGCAGTGAGAATTTATACAGTCCATGAGACATGAATGGCACGGGAAGTCGCATGCTACATGGAAAATAACGTGAACTCCATGCACCCAAATGTTCACCTTTCTACGAACGACTTCGACCTCTTATCCATGTAATAATGACATGACAGCTGGCTGGTAAGTTTTCCAAACAAGGACAGCAGATGGCGCTAGATTTCTTTTTTCCGCAGGGGAATTTCCCTTCCTCGGCCAACTACAAAACAAAACAGAATACGATTATCACATTGTCACTGGCCCTTGGGTGTGCCGCCCAAGCTCAAGCCTCGAAACCCCTACCCATTTGTAAGGGTCATTTGGGGTGATTTCTCTCGAAGTAAAGCCCTTTTTCACAATTTGCAGGTGTTCGCCATGCAAACACCAGATCATTTTGGAAATTTTGAAAAAAACGGATCCATGTTTAGGGATATTTTTGTTGAAAATAGGACCCATGTTTAGGGATTTTTGTGTGAAAAGGTGACCCATTAAAGTATGTCTTAATATGTGTGTACCAACCCCCCCCCTTTTTTTTAAATTTACACAAAGCTATACAAACTAAATCGAAAGAAGCCTGCTTCAAGTTAATGTCAGTTTTTACTCCCCCCCCCCCCCCCCCCCCCCTCCACCCTCAGAGTACCATTCGAAATTGATAAAAAAAAAGCACTTTTCATCCATTTGCCCACATTCTTTCCCCCATCTCTCTTCTCTGAGTCTCCCTCACTCCCCCCCCCCCCCCCCTTTCCCTCTCCTCTCTTTTCTCTCTCTCTCTCTCTCTCTCTCTCTCTCTCTCTCTCTCTCTCTCTCTATATATATATATATCTATGTCTTTTTCTCTCTCTTTGTATGTCTCTCGATCGATTGATTTTTTTTTTTTTATATGGGGTTCTATCAAATGTCTCCGACTTTAACAACACTAGGTTAAATGAAATAAAATCACAAAATGACAGCAAAGAAAATTAAATACCAAGATATCTTGTTGATAAATTTCTTTACTCAATCTGTGTAATATTCATCATGTGTATACAAGAAAATAAAATGCAGCATAAACATAAAACAACTTTTTTAAAGTAAGACATAATCCATGAAAGGGGTGAATGAATCCACTTTCTCAGCACAAAAATTGTACTCTTTCTTTGGTATCTTCTCATATTTGAAGAAAATAATTATGCACAGTAATTCGAGGCAGAATTATATAAACAAGGAAGTACTAACTGAAATTTCTATATAAAAAAAAACCTAAAACTAATAGTTCAACGAAAACCCCACTAGAAGTCAAAAGTCTTTTGCATAGACAAGATAAATTGTCAAGCTGCTGACCCATATATTTACCCCTAAAAAATGCTCTAATTACATGGTACTATTTAAAGAGTACGTGTTTAATATCCTTTGATACAACCAAAGACAACTTTTTATTTAAAAAAAAAATCAAATTGAAAATGTCCCTTGTCTTCATCCTCCTCAGATATTTGTGCGACAATTAATTCTATCATCTGACACTGGCCTTCGGAGAGGACGGGTTGTCGTGAGTTTGTTGTTAAAAGAACTAAAAAAGAACAAAACGTAACACTCTGTATATCAAACATACTTCCTTGAACTAAACTACACAGGTATTCAAGAGTAATTTGGTAAGAAATTCATGTTACATAATTTCAGCCTTTTCTTGAATTTCCAAAGAAAAAAAAAACCTCAGAACTCTTTGTCGCATAGATTAATAAACCTAAGGTGACACCATACATGCCCTATCACATTTAAAACCTGATTTTTGTTACTAAATAACAAAAATATGATTTTTACAAATTCAAGAAAGTCCCACAGATTAAAGGGATAGTTGAGCTCTATTTTCAGACTGCAGATGTCTTCAAAGTGCATGGTTATTGCTCTTATTCTTATCTATGACATTTCTAGTGCCCTTTTAGAACCTAAAATTTCTATGAAGGTAATTTTAGACCCCAAAATGTGTGAAATTTAGCCAATAGGATCATACCAATTTAGCTCCACTTTCAAAAAAATATGATGACCGTTAATTATTTAAGTAAAAATAACAATACATGGGCCGGCTGGTTGTGCCTAATATTACCAACACGAAAATGCCAACAAAAAAGCCAACATCGGCATTGGCTGAAATACAACGTAAAAGGCACTATTTCGAAAGGCGCTATTTCGTTTTCCAACGGCTTCAATTCAAATTATCTAATATTTGTGGTGGTACACAAGTATTAGAAATCGTTATATTTATGAATATTTCAGCCGTCTCTGAACCGATTTTGATCAAACAAAGATGATTTTGTCATTTAAATTGTATGTTCTATCAAATTTGACACTCAGTTTTTCATTATCTCACCCAAAAAAAATATTTTGTGTAGCGCCCTCTGCAACAGAACTCAACTATCCCTTTAATACGAGAAATGAAATTCCCCATACAATTGACAAATTTTGATAAATGTGTGCAATACATGTGTAATAAGCAAAGAAAGATGGGAGATATCTGTACACAAGTTGAATACCCATACAGGCAAATGTTGGTCCCTTCCACTGCACACGGTTTTGCAGCAACATTTAAAATCTTTTCAAAATCTTATCTAGCATAAAATAAAACCCCAGAAGACATTTGTATACATCTTTATAACAAACTTGTTTTAATCACTACATGATTAAACATTCAGGACTTTTGAAATGCAATTTCATGATAGGAATTAACTCAAGACTACCTGTACTTTTTGTACTTAAGATACTTAAAAATTAACATACAAAAGGGCATGACCTTTCTATGGAAATAGGAAATGAGTATTATCATCTATGCCACTTTATGGTCCCAGGCTTTACAACTCTTCAGGCAAGTAATCCATAAGCACCTACTCTCTCTCTCTCTCTCTCTGTCTCTCTGAGAGGTTGGCAACTTGATACACACCAAACACTCTGTTGTTTAATGTATTATGTTACTTTCACACATAAAATCAACACAATCTTTCAAAATAAATGCTTTTCATTGGACTTTAAAAACCTGATGATTGGAGATCATTTCAAGTTAAATGCTAGCAAGTTCAATGCCTTCTTTTCGACTGACTGCCAATTCTAGGGAAACTCAATAGGTAAACATTTTGTAGGTTTGTATTCTAATGCACTCAAACAATGACATGTTTTACTGTTTGCATCTTAATTTTGATCATTTGAGTTGTAACTAATTCAACAGCAGGAGAGAAAAGTAAATTCAATATTATTTGCACAGTGGCAAAAAACATGCAACAAAACATGGAGGCAAAAAAAAAACTTTCCCCAACATAGCAGACAATCTCAACAAAAACATAAATGTTTTGCTTATGTTTGCACTTGTGTTTTTTCTTTATTTTTACCCTTACAACAAACTTTAAATGAGTAAAACAAAAGGATGATCAGTAAAGTAATAAATTCTCCCAGCCTCAATTGAAACATACAATCAAAGCTATGAGGATGCCACAGTCCCGTCTTTTACAACACTTTTTATGCACATAGTGAACCTTTTTCTCTGGAATCACTAATGCTAACTTTTTGCTGAGCTTGCTTATTACAATCTGTACACATCGTTCATCAAGAGACCCCTCACAACCTCCATGTTGCGCTCTGCGGCCAACCGTTGGCGCATGCGGTTATCGTAATGCAGGTTCTGAACGTTGTACGGATTGCAGAATTGTCCAGCATTTTGTTGGTAGTATGGGTAGGGTTGCGGATTTGGGTATGGTGTGAACTGGGCCTGAGGATAGTAAGGTTGAGGTGTGATGGATTGATTTGGAAACCATGTTTGCGGTTGGCTCTGAGGTTGGATGTGATAAGGTTGGTTGTTTTGATAGGCATGTGGATTGTTTGGATGGGCATAAGGCTGGTAGCGACCTCCGGCTCTGGGTAAAGTGCTTTTGAGTGAACGTCCTGGGGACCCCATCAACGGTGCCGTATCCTTGGGAATATTGCCAAGGTCTATCGGCTTGAGCTCCAGAGCAGACGAGAGGCCTCCTCCTCTAAGGGGCGGAGTGTTTTGACGGACAGGGGATCTGTCCCTTCGGTGCCTCTTGACAGGATCAACTCGACTTTCCGATCGACTTGGAGGACGATCTCGTTCAAGGGGACTCCTTGAACTTCGTGGACGATCTTGTTCAAGTGGACTTCTTGATCTTCTGCCGTCTTGTTCATTTCTGAGCTTAGGAACCGAGCCAGATCTACCATCATCCTTGCCAAACCCTTTCATGTTCTCACTTTTGATGCTGTCATCATCATTCTCCTTTGTTTCTATGTAAGCAGGTGAATTCGTCTTCCGATCACCCAGCTTTGACGACCTCTGAGAAGCCTTCTCGTCGTCTGTCTCAAAATCATAGTAGAGGTTATCGGGAAGTTTCAACGAGTCTTTTCCCCTTGGACACCCGACTCCCCAGGACACCGCGATGTGCGCCAGGACCAAGTTGGTGATCCTACGATGAGCTACGTAGTTCCAGTGCACACCATCTCCGACCTGCCTATGCATCTGGTGACGGAAGAAATAGTTCAAGTCCAGGACATCTATCTCGTAGCACTTTGCCAGCTCTTTTGCATAGAAGTTGCCAAGAAGGACGTCATAGCGCATGGTCTTGCTCAGGTCGTGCAGTTCAGGCAGCAAGAACCCACCTTTGATTTCCTCAGCTACCGGCAAGGCGGTGTTCCACATGATGAGTGTCTCAATCGGGAGGATGCTATTGAGCTTGCTGAAGGTGGTCTCTATGTTGCGCTTGAAGGTCTTCATACTGTTGTATTGGCCATAACGGGAGACGTCCCACAGGCAGGAGTTCATGATCACAACATCAGGAACAGGATCCCCCTGCAGGTCAGGCAAGATGATTTCCTCCCAGTATTTGTTGTGGATTCTGGTGATGAAGTAAAACCTACACACAGAAAAAAGATAAATAATCCAGTTAGATTGTTCTAAATGTAAGTGGACTTCTGTAAATAATGCAGTAACAAGGGATATGAGTAAATGGCAACAGTATTTTAGTTGAAAGTATTTTCAGCTATAAACTAATAAAACTTGATGCGGCAGTTCAAAATTGTTGTTTCCCATTGCCATGATGGTTACTTTTAGTGTTTGTTTATTTTGTTTCTTTTTTGGGGGGATCTTTTTATAATTTCTGTTTTGAGATTGTTTTCTTCCAGATGCAAGACTTATTCACAAGACTGAATATGTAATTTGATTTGATTTGAAAAATTATTTAATAAAAACCACATGGCAGCTCAACAGTTGAATTGAGGGAAATTTACATCACAAAAAAATTCAAATAAATGCAATACAAAGTAAATATGATACAATTTGACATTGAGACTTATACATAGTTAAAGAGAAATACATTTTAGTTATAGCATGTAAGTTAAACTAAAATAGGGTGAAATTAAACTTTATACAGATCGAGCGAAGAGCTGCTGTTTCAAGTAATAAAAAAAAAAAAATAGTACTACTGAGGAGTTGGGTTCCGTGAATGATATAAGTTTGTTTAAAGGCATCAGGATTTCTATCTTAAGTCCTGGCTTAAAAAGTCTTAAAATATGGCTCCAGTAATCTCACCTAAGGAGATGATAGTCTGTCCTGTACTGTCTGACTTCTCTGTAGTTGATGCCATTATGCATCTTACCGCCTTCCAGAAGCACATCATTCATGAAATTCTTCTCACCCTGAAAATAAATGGTACAAATAAAATACATGTATAACAAAGGTGGTGAAAAAAAAACCTGGATAATTTTAATGAAAAAGAATGAGAGAGAGCAACATTTGTATTATGCTGTTTACTTTTCTTATGCTGGCCTTGTACTTATCATCAATTCATCATCATCATCATTTATTCAAGTCAGCATTTTCCCTTTTACAAGGGGTTACTGACTTTTGTGCCATGATGACACTCCCTCCCTCCAATTCTTCTCTTCTTGAGCATCCTCTTCATTTAGAGCAAACCTACTAATTTCTTTCTTTGCAATATATCTGTTCATGAATTCTTTAGTCTTCCTTTTCCCCTTTTTTTGGTAAAGATTTTAAAGAATATCTAAGTGTCAATTAAAAAACAAGCGTGAAGAGGCAACATAATACTGCATTCTGATACATTGATACATTTATGTCTTCAATTTAAAAAGAAAGTTCTCAATTTTTTCAACCCTTTTATCGCTGACACCATGTACTTCACATAAGAATCTCACTTTTACAACTGGTGATGAGCATTGTTTAAAGCGAGACTGTACAACTTGCACCCTCTATAGAGTAAACAATGCCTAAGCGGTGCCCGGTGGCCCATGATCCCCTTTTTCTTATGTTAATTGAGAGCTGATTTGATGAGATAACCACCTGTCAGTGACTTTACAGGGAGGTCTAATCCCTCCTGGCCAAACTAATCCAGACAGGCTTTAAAGCACCACTGTACTACTTGTAGCTACTTGCTCCCTCTACATGTATATAGAAAACAATACCTAATTGGTGACCATTGGTCCCCCATGATCCCCTTTTTCTTATGTTAATTGAGAGCTGAGTTGATGAGATAAGCCACCTGTCAGGGACCTCCCTGGGTGGTCTAATCCATCCTAGCCAGACTAGTAAAGACAGCCATTAAGACCCTTTTTTTAAATCACTGTTCGAAGACCACTTAGACATTCTCTAAAATCTTTACAACGCTGACATCCTCACCTTGGCCTTTAAATCCTGTGATGACAAGTATTCATTCCCCTGCAGGAGAGCAACAAGATCCTTGTAGATCCCTCGCTGGACTGAAGAACGAAGAAAATCAAGCAAATTTATAAGCGATACTGGATGATGAACTTTCTGCCCTAGACTAGAAGTACTGGTCATTCAGTGAGTACTAACAAAAAAATAGATTTTTATTTTTTCCATGAACCATGCCCCGCTTGAGAAAAAAAAAGAAGAGGATTTGGGGGATAAAAAAAATGGCATCTACGGTAAATCTGTAACAACAATCCCCCCTTTTGAGTAAGAAAAATTGGGGGGGGGGGGGGGAATGGGAAAATTAGGGAAAATAAGGAAAGATAGAGAAAATTAGGGGAAATAAGGAAAGATAGAGAAAATAAGGGAAAAATCAGGAAAGTAGGGATAAAAGTGGGAAGAAAAAAAAGAAAAACAAAATCGGGAAACTGATTTAAATCGGGTGATTATAAGGCCTGTGGTCATTACACAGCACCATATCATGGTTAACTTGCCAACAGTGTGTAACCTGATACCTAATTTCCACTTCACAGGAAAAAGAACAAGAACAACAAGAACAACAAGAACAACAAGAAAAACAACAACAAGAAGAACAAGAACAACAAGAACAAGAAAAACAACAACAAGAAGAATAACAACAACAAGAAGAACAAGAAGAAGAAGAAGTAGAAGAAGAAGAAGAAGAAGAACCAACTTGGATATGACTCAAAGTTGTAAGACTACTTTATTTATGGGTCCAAAACTAGAAATGCTTTCTTCACATAGCAGCCTGGTTAACAAAAACCATCATCATCACAACTTTTATACAAGTACCGCTATTTCAGATAGATTAGTGGAATGGATTACTAGCAAGTAGCAACACAAATGTTTTGCCCAATGGAAGAAGAGATTCTGAACGATTTAGCCTTTCAAGAATTTCTGTCAAAGATCAGTTATTTAGCACAATTGTCTATCTTATTGAAGTCTTGCTCAATAACTTTTTATGTTGGACAATGCCAGATGCATGAGCAGAAAAAGCCAAAGTCTCTCCATACATTCAATCCAATTGTGAGTGAATTAAAATGCATTAGCCAATACCAGGAACATGACAAAGAATCCTTTAATTGGCAACATGTCAAAATCTTAATTAATAACAATTTCATCATACATTTATTTTTTCCTCAACTTTAACACAGTTGATATAAAAGACTTTTGTCTTCAAATACATGTACATGAATTTTTATCATAAAAATGTAGCAATGTAAAAGAAAATACTAATAATGCCAATTTGAAGAGCAAGTGTGATTTATCTGGTTTTAAAAGATCCGGGCCATAGATTGGAGGAAAGATAACTCACTGGAATCTCCTAAGATGACAACAAACTTGTTATGAAAGAGCTTGGTGACATCCTCCTTGAGAAAAAGAGTCATGGGTGGCATGATTGCATCTCTCTGGAAGGAAGATAAGAAATTGAGACATTGATCTGGGTTAGATATGAAGTAAGTGTGTCTTGCTCCATAATCATGCAGTCTACTGATTGAGTAGGTTCAACCATGGACCTACTACAGCAGCAGAACAAACTACAGAAACAAATCATTGCAAGTCAGAGGGGAAATGGATGTAGAAAATAAGCACCAATGAATATTTAAAGCAGGACTGCAATATTTGTACCTAATTGCGCCCTCTATATAGCAAACAATGCCTAATCGGTGACCATTGGTCCCCCATGATCCCCTTTTTCTAATGTTAATTGAGAGCTGATTTGATGAGATAACCACCTGTCAGTGACCATGCAGGGACATCTAATCTAGGCTAGTCTAATCTCTCCTGGCTAAACTAGTGCAGACAGGCTTTAAAGGTCACATTTGATCAAAATGCAAGTTGGCAACTCTATGATGTACCTTTTGAGGACCTCTCCTGTTGATACGTTCACCCTAAATATAACTTGGTGTTTAATATTTATTTTATTGTTTTTCCAAAACCCAGGTACAAGTCAGAGTTGCCCATTTTCAACTGCAAGATTCAAAACTTTTTTTATCAAACTTCCCTCAAACCTCCACTCATCTCTTCCCCTTATTTTTCTGCTCTCACTAAAAATATCTTGTCACAGTTGACTACCATAAACAGCATGCAAGTAATAGGTGAATAATTACAATTTTAATCTCTAATAACCCATAAGTTGAAATGAACACCCAACTGAAGTATGCAAATTGTCAAGTTGAAAGATGTCAAATCTATTTGGAATAAGTTTTAGGATATTTTTCCAACAAATCTTTTCAACATATTGCTTTCATTGACAAATCATGACCAATCAAACAAATGTAACATTCATTGGCTCAGTACACACTAGTGCATAGCACCTGTTATATTTAAATACCGGTAACAAAAACAGGACTTTAAAAAAAAAAGGAGGAGGCAGGGCTTTACTATTTACATTTTTGCAATTTGTTTTCCAAGATTGCTGCCATGCTAATTATAGCTGGTCGAGCCTATTTATTCACAGATATTGTGCTCTGTGAGTATACTGATGCAGTGTACAACAAAACAAATGGTTTGTATCATTTTAGAATCTATTTAAACAAAATGTATATCACAGACTTTTTTTTCGTTGCTTTTTTTTCTGGGGGTTGGGGGGGGGGGGGCAGGCTGGCTTTTTTCTGAATAGTAAATAGTTTAAATCAGGAGGTGGTGGCCAAAAGGAGGCAAGCGGCCCTATTAATGAATGTTATTTATATTCATGACTCAGGATTCCAGGATGTGTTCAGGAATTTCAGCTTCAATTTTTCTGAATTCATGTACATCTTCACTTATCTACAGGTATTCACATTTATGAAACTTATCTGAGAGCCTAGTTACAAATCACTGCCTTTATCTCTAATCTGCGACAAGGTATTGCTGGTTGGAGAATATCATTTAACACCTGTTACTATTTCGTCTTTATTTACTTTCTATTTATTTTTCTTCTGGTAGGGTCATGCAATCATTGTCTTGTCACCTTTCTTAGATTAAAATGTACTTTACCTCATTCTTTCACAATGTGCTCCACAAATTTTGCGCTTGACAAGCAATTCATCTTCAGTGTACAAGGGATTAAGGGATTAAGGCAATCACAGTCTCAAGTTTTTCTAAAGCCTTTTGTTCTTTTGTGCAGTAGGTGCAAAGAATTTCGCGCAGGGAAATTGTATTTCTGTGCACAAAACATAGGTGTAATTTTTGTTGAGTTATCACCTGTATGTAGTGAAGTTTTGTTCTCAGCATAAACCGCTTCCTTGGGATTTGGGGTATGTGATTAGGTAAATGAATGTTTGTCTTCTTTTTTTGGATGCATCAACATAATTACATCATGCACAAGTACCAATGCAACTGCCTGTTCAACATTAGGACAGCACTTTACATGATACATGCACAGTATTTCATAGTATTTAATCCATAAGTGTGACAATATCCTATCATTATTGTACCAATGGTAATGCTGGTTGGTTGACATGAGCTCTAAGACACTTATACATGTACACAGTTATCTGAAAATAAGATTGTACATATTAATTCAGAATTTGTTTTCGACAGCAACCCTAAAATTGTTGCAGAGAAATAGAAGAAGCTGGAATTGGAAACCATTGCCATTGGCATTGCTGGTTAAATACTTCAATCAAATTTCAAAACTTCAAAGTCAGGTCAATTATTATTTACTTCTGTTTTTTGTGAGTAGGACCTAGAATATCTAAATATAAGGACTAATTGCTTTTCGTTTTTGAATCAAATATTAATCGCCGATCCAGTGCAGTGCACGATCCGTGGGCAGGATGAACCGGTTGGGTATCAGCTGAGCTGACGCGGCCGCGGGGGACTTTCCCGGCTTAGCATCACCCATCCGCTGTGTAACTGAGGTGAAATAGACGAGTAAAATAAAAACATTACAAATTTAAATCATCTTCTCACTCAAACACATAGACACAAATGCACAGAAACAGAATATGTGATCTTTATCAACAATCATTCATCCAAATCTGTGGCTGAAAGAAATTTAAAAAAATACAATTACCTGTAAAATATGGGAAATGTTGAGCCTTCAAATTCTGTGAAAATAGCTGACTCGACTGCACATGCGCTCTTTCTCTAAAGAAATCTCGTTATGAGAGCGAGTGGGTGCAGTGCGGCAGTGCCCATGCTTCCTGCCCCCCTGGAAACGTTCTTGAGAGGGTTCTCAGACATCTCCACCGGTGCCCTTGCATGTCCGAGAACCAACTTTTGAGCATTTGCAATTGTTACGTTTTATATAAATCTTGACGATATAGGGGTAATAATGAAGAACGATCGATGACCGTGGTTCTAACGAGACCGGAGGGAGAGGGAGGGGCAGAGCACGTTTCTCCTTACTTAATTTCTTTCATTTTTTTTTTTTTTTTAAATTCTTTCTTTCTTTTTAATTCCCGAATCTTGTGTCTTTTATTCTGAGGGTAAGTGCCAATTAGAGGTCGGATAAAAGGGCCCACTTTTATAGAGTTAATTGGGGGGGGGGCGGGGTGAAGCATAATTAGAAAAAATATACACCCACAAAAACACCATTAAAAACCTCAGAGGAACTGACTGGTGGCCAATGGTTAAGTTCTAGCCTTTTGAGTGTGAGGAGTGTGAAAATTTATGGAACCAGTGTGAGAGACTCCCTGTTTATCTGACCCAGGGATCTGTCCATCTATAAGCCCACGTGCACCTAATATCTTTTGCATAATACAGGCCGTAATAATTTGTTAGAAAATTGTAACTTTCTGTCATATCATCATCGTTATTCGGACATTTTCTTTCTCACTTTCTTCCTTCTTTCTCTCTCTTTCTTTCTTCTCTCTTTCCTCTTCCCCCTCTCTTTCGTCTTTAGTTAGGTCTGTATAGTCTTTACCAAATGTCCCTCTCTCTCTCTCTCTCTCTCTCTCTCTCTCTCTCTCTCCCTCATTTGCATTCTTCCACTCCCAATCCTCCCTTTTTTCCTTCTCTTTCTCTCTCCATCACCCTGTTTTGACTCTGGGAGGTTCTTAAATAAACTGCTCCTTCAATGGGAAGTCATTTCGTGACGGTCCAAGTTTTAATGTATGAGCACCCGGAATGAGTCCGTACTTTTAGGTATCTGTTTGCTTGTTTAATTTATGTTTAATGGACCTATCCTGGATATTAATATTATTTCGTTCTTGAATAGCGCATATCACATTGTGATAATGTCCCTATAATAATTTGTATGCGGTTTCAAAGAGCTTATTATACCCCCCCCCCCCCCCCCACTCAGTGTTATATAGGGTATGCGTATATGCATGATCCCTCCTTTTGAAAACACCCCCCAAGTCCGGTGTGTAAAGTCAATACGGGTCGGATTTTTGTGTACTACGAGCCGGACTTTGGTGCGTGAAAAGTACCCCTTTACCGGACATTTTGGGAACACGCATGCGGTCCCTCCGACCTCGGAGTAGGAGGGCCGGGTTATACACTCGTCAAACGATGACACAATAGATGAAAGGGTATGGTATATTTACAAATTTTATTCAATAATATTGTCCCTAATAATAAATCATTGTAATAATAATGACAATCCTCTAATAACTAAGCATAACTGAAACAAATTATTAATAGTGCACCAAGATTTTTTCTATATTCCAAGCCTAAATCAAGCATTGTGATCGACTGAGTTGATGGTGTTATATACAATTCGAGAAACCATGTTTTGATTATTATTACGTATATATATATATATATATATATATATAGTTGATGTATTCATACGTCTTTTCACGTGTTTTTTTTTTTTTTTTTTTTGCATTCTGAGACGTTTTTCTCACTCTTTGAAGCGTTTTGAGTTTTTCCTCATTTATCACTCCCTTATTAAAGATCCCATCAAGTCCATTTTTCTTAAATTTAAATGGTAATCCAACCTTTGTAATAAGTTCTTAATCATGTATGAAAGCAGAATGACAAAATATGAAATAAATCAGAACAATATTAAATAAAAGAGTTATTAATGTTTAAAATACGAGATCACTTACTCGATGTTAGAGCGAGTGGCGGATCCCAAAAAAATTGTGCATAATTATGAATTAAGCACATTCCTTGCCCAAACAAAAAAAATAAACTATAGAAAGAAAGTGATGGTATTGAATGTGATTATTAAGTTTCATGTGTGGTACCTCTGGACTGGTCACAAACCGTCGCAGAAAACAACCAATTAAAAACACAAGAAAGTCCGGTCAAAATTCCTACCAAAATGACAGATCAAATTAATAATCATTGTCCTATAAGGCCTAGAAAAATTCGCACCCATAGGGCGTGGGCCTCATCTTCTTACAGTTGGCATCCAGCTCGTCGGCGCCGTTCGGGCAGTCCCTAATACCGTCGCACATCTGGCACTCGGAGACGCAGAGCGAGGCGGGACCACCGTCGTCACCTTCGTTGTAGCAGTGGAAAGAATCGAGGTAGTCGCCTTCGACTTCCTTCTCCAGCTCGTTGAGGCAATATTCTAGGAGTAGGAAGTGAAATGAAATGAAGAATAAGCATGGGAACTTGGGATGGCATTAAATCCCATTTCCCTTGCACCTTTGTGTTTTAGCGGCAGTTGCGAACGATACGGTTGAGAGACTTGTACTCAAACTAAACAGCAGCAGTATTAACAGCAACAATCTTTTTTGGTTTGTTTGAAGTTGACAAGGGGCTAGGCGGTATTTTCCTTTTATTTTAAGAACAATAACCAAAGTATATTATACCTCTGCTATACATCTATTAATCAAAATCAATGCCGCCCTTTCATTTTGTTTACATGCTTTATATACAGAGGCGTTTTCGGTATTGTAAATAGAGAGAGAGATGAATGGAAAGAGAAAGAGACAGACAGAGAGACAGACAGAGAGAGGGAGAGAGAGAGAGAGAGAGAGGGGGAGATGGGGAAGGGGGAGAGGGAGGGAGAGAGACATAGAAGTGGACAGAGAGAGAGAGAGAGAGAGAGAGAGAGAGAGAGGTTGGAAGAGAGTGGGTGCCGAATCCCAAGATCACTTTGTTTGATAATGACTAACCTGCAATAGGGGATGCCCAACAATATATTTTTGTACAAACATATTTTATGAGCCCATGTTTATCTTCCTATATTCAAAATCTTAATATCTTAAACTGATGCCAGGTTCAATATAATCACCTTTGTGCGGTTGAGCACACTCGGTAAGCATCTCATCGGACCCGTCATTGCAGTCCAATGTCGAGTCGCAAACCCTGTTCATGGGATCGAAGCTTCCTGGTCGTCGAGGACGTCCACCCGAGCGATGTCCACGCGGTACGCATTCTGCCCTGTCCGGGTACGCCGACTTCGTGCATCGGAAGACGTCGAACCCTGTCTTGATCAGGACATCGCAGTCATCTAGGGGAAAAGACAAGGTCAAGTATTATTAGCATGATAGCAAAGACTTTCGAGAATTTAATCGGAAGTCAATCTTAATGTGGGTCATCTTTTAAGCCCCACTGTACTACTTGTAGCCACTTGCTCCCTCTATATAGAAAACTTCCCCAATCGGTGCCTGTTGGTCCCCTGTGATCCTCTTTTTCTTATGTTAGTTGAGAGCTGAGTTAAAGAGATGGCCACCTGTCAGTGACTAACACAGTGTGGTCTAATCCCTTCTTCCCCAGTAGTGTTGACGGTCTTTGATATGTGCGAACATTATGACGGTGACATCATGATGCGTATACATCCGAACATGATTTCTAAAGGCAATACAATAAGCTATTGAAATGGGCATCAAGTTAATTTCTTGAAAGTCTTTGCGATCGGTTCTTTACCATTACAAAGAGTGACAGTGAGTGTTACTAGCAGGTGACAAAAGAATCAATCTTACACTATGTTGGCCGAAACCTTTTGTTGTTTTTGCCGATTATGATCCAATTCATATTGGATCTTGAATTTTTATTCTTTTCCACTCTCTCTTTTTTATTTATTCGGCATTGATTACGATTGGGGGGGGCGTACGTGCCGCTTTTAGCTATACGCCTTAGATTTTGGCATTAGGGCACATACCGCTGACTAATTCGTCCTTTTGCAGCTGTGCTTGGGCGCATTGAAGAACAGCGAACGTCGAGATGATGACGATTACGTGGAACAAGTCCATGGTTAACCCACGGTTGAGCTGGGGCACAAGCGTTGTAGAGAAAAACCGTCGTCAACTGCGAAGAAGGAATGGATATTTGAAGTTAAAAGAGATACAAGTGTCACAGTTAAACGTCATGATCTGCATTGAAATACTATGAAACATTATGACTATTGTGACAGTTTTACAAGCAGCGCCAAAGGTCCTGGGTTCGAAACCAAATCGATGTGCTAGAGACCTATGGTAAGGGTAAGGCGTTCATGATCACAATACAGCTAGGTTTTCATAGTTGCCCAACTACAAACAAAATTTAAATTGCTTTAATTCCAATTATTCGGATACCACAGTGAAACATGAAAAAAAAAAGACCACTCAAACAGGTGGCAAGATATTTATAGACAGGTGTTCTTTATGTGCATGTTCCGTTAGTACAGGTTTCTATGAGAAAACGATTGTCAAGGAAATAGAAAATGTGGTCTTTTAAAAATGGATATGAAAACCCCCCCCCCCCCCCCCCCCCCACTCCGTGAACGGAGGGATACCATGCGTGTTCCCAAACTCTCCGGCTCGCGATCGTAACAAAAGAAAAAGGTCTACCCGTATTGACTTTACACACCGGACTTTCGCAGAAAACGGGGTCGCTGGGAACACGCATAATGCGTACCTTTAATAACACTGAGTGGGGGGGGGGGGGGGGATATGGAATCCTCATTGGAGGGGCTCGAAATCTACCCGAGTTGCCAAAAGAATACAGCATGTTCCATGGACCCACTGCATGTTGTATTGACTCTCTCTCTCTCTCTCTCTCTCTCTCTCTCTCTCTCTGGGCCTTCAAGCGTGGTTGGGGAAGGGATGTACCCCGGCACCACGCCTCTATGGTAGATACCCCTTTGCAAGATGTGGGTGATCTTGAAATTGTCCTTCGATCGTGTTACATTAAGATATTGGGGGGAGGGGGTGAAGTGAGGTTTTTTATTATGGGAGGGGGGGGGCTGGTTGGCCTCATTCTTGATGCAAATCACGTCGTGTTGGTCATTTGAAATAGAAGAGCGTCTTTACAATTCGGCTGAATGAAAAGCAAATTCTCCCTGAGGACTCTCGAGGTCTACAAATAACAGTACAATATGATGAATGGAAGCCTTGTTTAAAGGATACAATACGGGGTAATCGTTATTGAAGTCATGAATAGATCAATTTGCAACTCAATTGGGATCGGGAAGCCTTTCATTAACGTAGCCTTTCGTAAAAAATGTCTTTGGGTTAATGGGGCAGTTGTTTGGATGGTATTATTGGTAGTATGCGGACCAGCAGATATTGATCATGTTCACAGCATAGATTTCACTGATTGGCATTTCCACATAAAGGCACATTTCATATCAATGTGAAAAGACAAAGAAATGGAGAGAGGCAGGGGGAGCAGAGAAAACTAATAAGATGTTGTTAAAAACAGGAGTTCCGAGGGAAAAAAACTCGCTCTCGGAAAGAGAGTTTATATGCAATGGAAGATATACCGTGGATGTTAATTAATTTACCGAAAAGAATAATTCATTCAGTCGAATAATGCACCCATAACAGAATCGAATAATGTCAGATACCTATAACTTGGGAAGTATACAGTGTCTGTTGACGGTGCTGTTGTTTTTTGTATGTTGTTGTTGTTGTAGTTTATTTTAGCATATTTTTTTTTACTGAAATTTGTTTGAATGAACAAATATTTCGGAGATGTTGCATCTCGTTTAGATTTCTACACCTAAACTTCTCGTAAAGACAACCTTTGCTTTGCTTGCTTTATAAGCCATTAATCTTCATTTGCCACTCGGCCCAGGGCCCAGGTGGGGTAAATGGGTACCTGGCTGGAATTAATTCCCTGACATGCTAAAGCGCTGTAATATGGCAGCTTGGCTAAATCGGGGGTAATTATTAATGCGCATCGGAATAGAATTTCTAGAAAGACGGTGCTATATATAGAAATGCCTATAATTATTATTACGTGTATTATTATCGTTATAACAATTTCTTTCGCCCTGAGATACCCTTGAATTTATATGGGGGGGGGGGCCTTAGGCATGCTTTTTGCCTATATATATATATATATATATATATATATATATATATATATATATACCGGTATCTAAAAGGTATGCATCAAATCTAACTGTAATTGTTAGCTTTTCTATTGTATAAACGTTAGCGTGACCTCAACTTAACAGCTTTAATCCCTATTGTGTTTACACGAAACAGCAAAACCTGTTAAACACTTCTACTTTTGTCTTTCTTCCGCTTGTTAAAATGAAGAATGTAAGAAATAAAAGGCCATCGTCCATCTTAATCCACTTTGGCAGGGAAGTGCTAAAAACCGTCAGCAAATATTGGCACAATCTGAGCATTTTAACAGTGTTAACACTATGCATCATGAGATGCTAATTCTTATGCAAATGAGATGCGTAAATGGTGTACACTTGTATTTAGATTTACTAAAGATGCACTATTTGTGCACGACCAGGTACCCTGTTTGAGGAAAGTATTATTGGCCGAATAGATATATTGAAAAGACCATCCGGCGAGAATATGATACAAGTATATCGTGAGTGAAATGGTGAACTTAAGAAAAAGGAGAATGGTTGGAGGGGGGGGGGGCTATAGAAAGAGAGAGGAAGAGAGGGATGTATTGAGAATTAAAGAGTGAAAAAAAGAGGAGAGAAAGAGAGGAAAAGAAAACAAGAGAGAGAGAGTGTTCAGTAGGTAAATTAGAATAAATTTTAGTATACGAACGAGTAACAATAATTACAAGTATTATTATGCATGCATGACTCAACACTGGTTTAAATCAATCGATAACACATCGTTGAAATTCTGTGACATTTTATACAATAAAACTTCGATTGTCTTCTTTGTTGAGAATACTAACAACAGAATAAAGGACAATAGAATATCGAACGAATTACGATTGAACAACAGATATGCAGACACATCCGAGATCAAAATATATACGCAAAAGTCATCTGCAACGCGAAAGATTGCGATTGATCCAAACCAATCGCAAATTTGCAGTCTCCTATCTCTCATGACTTTGTACATAGAACGATTTAAGTTGCGATTGATATCAACTCTTTATGAAACGGGGCCCAGGTCTGACAAGTCCACACAATCACGTCTTTTCCAGTGAGAGCATTGCAAATCTTCTTTAAAAAATGTTTTGTATAAAAAAAGTATGTCGCCATATATTTATCAAGGAGAAGGGTTCGTTGGTCGATATTTTATAGAAACTGAAGAAAATTAATATGTTTGTTTAAAAGGTGCATTACGTGGAAGTTATCAAATTATCTGTAGCCTATTATAACATTATTTGTTGATCCTGAAAGGTTTTGAGAGGTATTCTCTGCGGACATGAATAACACCTCACCATTCAAAATATAAATCAAATTAATGTGTAAGGACCATAAACACTATGCAGTGTACAATGCACTCCTTTCTCCAAAAGAGATAATAAAGACATGTATATTCATACCCTCACAAAATTGTGTAATCTTTCAAGTGCATGTATGTTAAAAATTGATTTGTCCCAAGTTATGTTTCTTGAGAATGTGAGCTTAGTAAAAGTATTCAACGAAGGCCCTATCAACCAGTCGATCTTCCATTCATTACAAAAAAAAAGCACTCCAAAAGCATCAATTTTATAAGGGGTATGAATAATTTAGTTGTTAAATAATGAGTCATTAAAAAAGTACAAACAGCAACATAATAAATCTTAAAGAAGCAAGGAATTGAACGGAACTTACCCTGAGGAATAATGTACAACCACCTCAAGACGTTGTCCAGCGATGACTGCGGAACAAGGGGACGCTGTCTTGCTCGAGTCGGACCTTGTATAGACTTGAGGCTTATATTCACGAAACACTCTGAACCCCAAACAAAGCAATTTACATACCAATCATTACAGGTATGGAAGGGTATTAGGGGTAACAATAGTATCGGGAAGGGGGAGATCGAGGCAATGACAGCATAAGGGGGGGGGGGTTCCCTGGGGGGGGGGTCACTCTCCATGATTCGCTTACAGTCAGCTCTAGATAATTTTACATGGACTGTATTGCCCATAAAGTTGGATTTAAAAAACCCTCTTTTCATGAAATAATTAGGACAATATGGTTTATTCTTAATAGATACAGTTTGTATCTTCTCTATATGTTTAAAACTGTATTTATCCAACTCTATATCTTTAGAGTCTTTAGAATTATTAATGATGTTCTGAGAACTTAATAATATGGGCAACAGTCTATGACTTCTTTGTAGTAACTGGATTATAAACATACATTTTGGCGTGGATTTGAGCATAAATAGAATTATCGCGAGGTCCATTTTCTATGCGTCTCACCTGGTAACATTACACTCTTCTGTATTTCTAATATTTGTGTTAATGTGGTTATATACCTGTTGACTCCGCTCCTATTTAGTAAAAACTGCAAGTTTCGCTACCTCCGACCTCCCCCCCCCCCCCCCCCCCCCCCCCCCCCTCTCCGCCTCCGAAAGTAACAGTATGCCGCCACTGGCATAATCAATTGTAATGGGAAATAGGAGGGTTATAGGAAATTTCAATCTCAAGAAACCCTTGAAATTCAACAAGCTATATAATAGGTCTGGCCCTGGTCACCTGCATACAGCGTTGACAGGAGGAAGATAAAAGCATCGCACAAACATGTGATTGTAATCTCAAGTCAAGCAGGTAGATATAGAAGATGAGAGGTGTACTTAGAAGGATTTAACGGCGAGTGTGCATGGGCTGGGTTTAGATGGTATTATACATAATTATGGTTTGGTTTGATACAGTCATACAAGGCGAATGATTCTGTTATGTCGACTTTGGATGAAAAGAATTGAAGGATGATGACATCGTGACAGCTTGATAAAGGTATAAGAAATTAATTAAGGGGAGGGAGTGTCATGCCATCAACATCTCCGTCCTTTCCTCCCCCTCCCAACCCCACCCCTCTATCACTCTTTTTTGTTATCTCCAGTTCTCTCTCTTCTCCCCCTTTTATCTCTTGTGTCCCCTCTTCCATCTCTGTCTTTGGTCCATTCTGTTTGTCTGTCTATCTGTCTCTTTCTCTGTCAGTCAATCTCCCTCTCTCTCTCTCTCTCTCTCTCTCTCTCCCTTGTCTCTTTCTCTTTCTCCTTCTCCCCCTCGATCCCTCTCATCGCTCTCCTTCGTTTCCTATCCATCCATATATCTATCTATCTACCTATTTATCTATACAAGTCATCTATCTATATTTCTACTTGTAAGTCTGGCTGTCTGTCTTATCTGTCTGTCTATCGATGATCATTCTATTTCACATTTGACATAAAAGGGATTGAAAGTGGACAACGGTTAACAATGTGAAACAAATTGAAAATCTCGGGTGAATGGGGTACAAAGAACGCGTGATTGCTTTACAAATTAATGTTGTCTTGTCTCTTGAAAAGATACCGGTAAAGTAGACAATGACTACGAGGGCTGGGTGTTCCTTTTCTTATTTTGTAATGGTAAGGCTTGAGGGGACAAACGAGGTAAGTAAAGACCTTTTGTTAAGATCGCGCGAGAGCCTCGAAGTTAAAAAGCAATCTGAATGAACCTTGAAAATACTTTACCATTGTCCACCGACCCCTCCCGTAAAGCTCTCTCTCCAATGAAAATAAACACTACTCTTGTGCATTGTTCCTATTAGTTATGAGAAGTTGTATTTAATTTCAGAAGGGTTGAAAATCACCCCTCTCTCTGCCCCCTCTCCCTACTTCCTCTCTTCCAATTCTCTATCATTATCTTATCTCTTCTCTCTCTCCCTCTCCCGCCCCATCCTCCTCTCTCTACAATCCCTTTCATTTGTCACAATCCCTTCTCGCATTCTCCCTCTTTATTTCTCTCTCTCTCTCTCTCTCTCCCTCTCCTTCTCTCTTTAGGGTCTGCCTATCTTTTTATTTTCATCTCTACCCTACCCCCTCCCACTCTCTCTCTCTCTCTCTCTCTCTCTCTCTCTCTCTCTCTCTCTCTCTCTGTAAGACACATCCCCCCTCTCTGTGAACTGTCTCTTGACACATAAACATTCAAACAACACCTATGATTTGGGCACAGGAGAGAAACTATCACAAGATATTATATTGATACAAAATATTCTTTATTTTTTATTACACATGCATATCAATTCAGAATCAAAAACATCAAAAATCATACACATCTCCCTTCATATTGATTTACCGATTGGAATAGTTAGTACTAATGTGACAACACTTTGTGTCATTCTCTAATTCAACAAAACAAATTAGTAACAGAATTCGACACAATTCCACAATTACTTCACGTTGTCTGTTTCATAGCAAATATCACCTACAAAAAATATTGATTGAGCGTTGTCAACATTTAGGCAGTTTGATATAGAAAACAGTTTCTCATCAAAAGTACTATACATTAGTATTCACTTTTACCCAGTGCGGTATAACGTAGGAAGGGGTCCTAAAACAACCTTTACCAAACAAATTAATACTATCAATTCTTAAAAGGTATGAAAATTTGTACAAAATATTTTTGATGGCTATGAATTAATGCCCTGCTGATCTCCTTTGCATTAAAAATAACGATATTCTTTGATAAACCTGTTTGTTTAGTCCGTTTTCATTACATGATGGTTAATTTTCGATCACTTGTCCAACATAACTATATATTTCATATCTGGTTTTCCAAATCATATTTCAAGTTTAAATCAAAAAGATATTTTGAAATCAAATACATGTATTTTCATACATCAAAACAACATAATTGAGAGTAAGATAGAGATCAAAGAGAAAGTAAAGAGAAAGTAGACAAAGGCAGAGAGAGAGAGAGAGAGAGAGAGAAGGAGATACTCAAACAGAATGAGTGAGAGAGAGATAGAAAAATAGTTTTAAGAAAAAATTAATAGATAGGGAGATTGTTAAAGACAAAGAGAAAGAAAGAGAAAGAAATAGATGCAAAGAAAAACATCATGTCAGCATTTACGATCTCACATATCAATATTTTAACATGAATATATTAAATCACATCTTATAAATGTTACTCGTATATATAATCTTCATCACTATAATTATATAGATACAAGTACGTAAATGCAAAGAGTATAAACCATTTACATATTATTGCATCCATAGTCAATTTCATGCCACCACAAAATTCCATTCAAAAATTGATAGGGAAAAAAAATACTTGATATAATTTTTCACATCGTTGTCAAGAATTTTTTCACCGTCAATGCAGGTATCTCCACACTGTTGGCAGCACATTCACAAAAGTCACTTTAAAAAGACCACTTTTCCCACCAAATATCAAAATAATGTTATACAATGTTTACATATAAAATATCTGCTATATAAGTACCGGTAGTATATATAATTTTTCTTTTTTTTGGTAGAAATGATAAGTTCCTGGTGTTATCACACTCCTGGACTTACATGTATGAAACTAAAACGAAAAGGATAAATACATACTGCATATAAAATGAAAAATCTACTCCACATAGCCAATTAGCCATAGATGCAAGTGGATTGATATTCATCAAGATTTAACATCCTAAAAATACATGAAGTTATAGAAAACGAAAGAGATTATTATCACTATGATAATATATGATTTTCATATCTAATATTATCAATTTGTGCTTCAACAAGCAATACGTAAGTTGATACTGCCAAAAACAATCCATTCGTAAGTTAAATTTTAGATCCATATGCATTCAAACGATCATACATTGTGTAAGACTGAATCTGGCTTTGGTGAATTTCTTGATATCACAATTTTAATACCTTAGTTAAACCAACGAGACATGAGACACCAGACCGTCTACAGACTGAAGAAATAACAGTAATCATGTATTTCAAAATATGATGTAATTAACGTTGTTGAATTATATTTAATTATGTTAAATTATTTTCGTTCAATGTACTTACCTTGTTAGGCGCCTTGAGCATCTCTTGGGGTGGATATGTGCGCATTATAAATGTTGTTATTTATTTATTTATTTTTTTTTTATCATATCACCCCAGTAATAAGTCGGTTGGAGTCAGTATTCTGGTTTAAGTTTCAATTAAAATCAAGAGTCATACATTGAAATAGGATAAAAAACAGTTTGAATTATCGAAACAAAGGAAATCAAAGTATGCATTTTCTTTCAATGGACTATGAAGAATGTGTATCTCTACCATTTCACTCTCAAATTTCTGTTTAATGAAGATAGAGGGCGACATGCAACTAGCCAAGTTTTCAGACATGCATTTCTTTGCATCCAAACATTGTTTACGAAACATAATAATGATTATTGATTCACTTCATATTACATCCAAGGAATGTGATAAAAGATGACAAAAAAATGAGAAATTGAATATATATATATATATATATATATAGGAGTTGGAGAAAATATATCAGAAATAATAAGAAAAATTTAGTACTAATTTGACTCCTGCTCTGTGCAAGACTAAAGAGCAATCATAGTCATAATTCTGTAAGTAAGGCCCATTAAATAAACACATATAATATAGAAATAATCTGTTTCTTAGCAAATATTTGAACTACTTAAAACTTAGGACAATAGAAAAGGAAATTCATAGTATAACGAAACTTCTAACAATAACACAAATCAAAATAACTTTTGAAAAGTTTACTTTACGCAAATTGACTGGAATCGTTTCAAAGTGCTCTCATTCAAGAAGGGTATAGATGAAAGCATGTAAAGGATATATAAATGATATAATATGACAGTAGTAATAGGGTTTTTTTTTTCTTTTTTTCTTTTCTAGGAACTTATCAAGGGTTAATCCTGTATCTAGAGAAGGTAGCTTGGGTAAATGTAAGGGCACTAAAAAAAAAAGAAGCAAAATGCACAATAGTTCATGACATTTGTGGATATAAAGTTTCAACAGGTAAATGGTAATTATTTGGATGTGCATATAGCAGTGATGAATGAAGTCTTTGACTTATCAAAGACAATCTACATATATCTATATTTTTCTTCATTTATACCAATTTCTATCGGTCTTAATTTTGCATGATCTCAGGTTTAGCCTACAGTGCGTATAATGTAACATGCAACTTTTGGAAAGCATCTTGCATCAAAACTGAAGACTTCCAACACTTGGCCAACAAGCTTACTGTTTTCAATCATATTTAAATGCCTCTACGTATCAACATGTACGCAACAATGTCCCTCTCAGAAAAATAATCACAATTCCTTTCACATCATTATGGTTGTATTAAAATCATATGGTTCTGTTTTACCATATGGTGAAGGCAACCAATGGTTTGTGTCTATCTTTGGGCAGAAAAGATTAGCGCCACAACATTGAATTTTTTGTTGATGATCCTGTTTTTATATTTTTGTTTTAATGTGGGAAAGTCTGAGAAACATTTTAAAATCAACCTTTGTAAAAATTTCACTGATATTATAATGCGTAAAGGAAATACTTGATCTCATTTATTGGTTGCCAGGAAAATTAAAGATTGTATCAACTTATATATGCTATATATTCTGAATTGAAGAAAATAAATACAACCCATTTTGCCATCACTTGGAATTGAAAAAAAAAATATTGCTTTTATATCAATCAAAATCAAAGAACACCAATATACTGGTTCGGAGGCTTACCAATATTGCAAAAATTATAATTATAAAAAAGAGGTGTTTTACTTAGTTTCAATTCATTCCTCATCACAGTTTGCTAAAGTAGCCAAGTTAAGACATCACTCCCTAGCTTTTTTTTAAAATTCTGTTATTGGGTAAAAAGGGAAAGTGAGTGGGGGCATGGGCAACACATACTATAAACCAATTCCCAATCTTTATCTCTTATATAAAGTACCGGTAGGTATTTTTGAGGTATTGCTGGCTAAATGATATGTAGAAACAGTGAAATCTACATGATCATGCTGCTGTAGTATTTTGTAACCCTTGTTTCATAATATTGCAAGCTTCAAGTAAATCATATATTCTCTACAAGCTTTCAATCATCGAGGTACATAAGGCAAGTATAAAATTCTTACTCTTCTGTAAACTACACATGCCAAAACACCCACTGTCGTGGATTCATCCGCATAAAGGTCACAAGGATATAAATTATTCAGATCCAACGAACAAGAGCTACAGATTCAAACACCATTCCATTCAGACTGTCTGTTGCCTTTGAATGTATTCTTAAGGTAGCCACTCAAGACAGGTTTCATAAGACTATGAGACCCGGGCAGCGTTTCAGGAAACTGTCACAAGTACAAGTTTGCTGACAAACCACTGAAATGCTTGTATTAAATCTAACATGTGTTTAAATGGGATGTCAGTAAATTTGATAGACGGTTCGTGAAACGATCCCCTGAAGACTGGCATTCCTGACATTGTCGGAAGGAAGGGGTGAAACCCACCTGTCTTCAAAGACTACTTTTTGTGTTACCCTTGGGTGGTCACTCTAGACAGGTTTGACTGTATATGCCATTGTCCTCCTGTCCTCCTGCATGCGTTCAACGGCCACCGCTTGCTTCACGAGTTACCGGAATGATTTGCAAGGTTGGCCGCCAGGTGCTGCATGAGGACCTGGCCAAACTTCTTCTGGTGCATGTCGATGTTGTCGATGTGCTTGAAGAGCTTGTCGCTGTCGATGTGGAGGGTTACCGCTTTACGAATTGCCGGAATGATTGGCAAAGTTGGCTGCCAGGTGCTGCATGAGGACCTGGCCAAACTTCTTCTGGTGCCTGTTGATGTTGTCGATGTGCTTGAAGAGCTTGTCGCCATTGATATACTTGGTTACCGTCTTACGAGTTGCCGGAATGGTTGCTGGCAAGGTTGGCCGCCAGGTGCTGCATGAGGACCTGGCCAAACTTCTTCTGGTGCATGTCGATGTTGTCGATGTGCTTGAAGAGCTTGTCACTGTCGATGTGGACGGGGATGTTGGTGAGGAACTGAGCGGCCTGGATGAAGTCCATGGTGAGCAGGACGTCCTCGTACAGGGACAGGATACCTAGTGACAGGAGGTCCAAGACACACACAATCAGGTGATGGTTAGTAACCAAAGAGGTTTCGACAGCACATACATGTATGTATGTTGTATTAAAGGGATTGGGTAACTTTGCCTCAGATTCTGAAACAAAATCCTGGATTTAGCTCATGCTACAATGATAATTATAAACCTCAAGGTAAGTCAGGAACCCCATGACTTTTACAAGCCGATCGCCTGTCTGATTTTTAAAATATTTATGAATCAAAATCAAAATCAAATTTTGTGTTTTCCTAACACTACAGTCTATTGGGAAAAATGAGTATGGTAAAACCGGTCACTCAAAGATTTTTACTTTTTTGAGGCGCTTCATGATCATTTTGAAGCGCAGTTTTTTTTAGGGCTTCAATATTACACCATATCACAGTAGGGCCATGCATCTCAGATTGCCTTTAAGAAGACATGAATACACAAGAAGATCATGACAATACACTGTTATTTTGTACAGTAAAAGTACCAGTAGTCATTAAGTCAGCATAACCATCTGTTTTCCATCACTGTGTTTACTACATGGTTTAAAATTGGGATAAATTCTTGATCATTTCTTTCGGAATGCGATTTGACTTTGATAAAGATTTCAATAGATTTTGTTGAAATATTAGTGACAGAGCGATATAAAGGCTTTGAACGAGGCCTGGCCAGTTTGGGAGTCATCCTGAATGTAAGAATATCCACAACAAGCCATAATTAAACAAATTCTCTGCAGGAATATTCTACATATATCTATCTTCTATCTATCTAACATAGTAAGTAGCATTTACAAACATGCCCAAAACTTTAGAAAGTCACTATGAGACTCTTGATACACATCTATTTTTTCTATTAAAGCAGGAAGTATTCACAAGGAAGTCCAGAACTACACAAACCGCTGCAATGCTCTTGATATTCTATCTATCCTTTTGGCAAAGAACATAAGGGGACTTCACACCTACAGAAAAATGTGAGATTTAACAAATAATCTTTGCGATTCACATCACGATTGACATCGCAATTCAATTTGCAGTATTAAAGTCTTGCTATTTTTCAGAATAATTGCGATAGTTTGCTGGGCGCTGTGTGTGTGAATGGTATCGAGAATCAAAAATCGATTTTATTTAATCCCAGTATTCCAAGCGCGCATACATACAAGCGTCAAGATTTACGCATTTGCAGTTTGGACGTCCTTGCCGTTGAGCGACAATTCTGTGTGTGTGAATGGTCGCCCCCCCCCCCCCCCCCCAAAAAAAAAAAAAAAAAAAAAAAAAAAATTTAAATTCATCTTTGCATCACGATCCTAATCGCACTAATTATTATGTGTGAACGGGCCTATTGTCTCACCTAAAGCTGTCCTGAAGAGCAGTTCTTCTCCATCCCTGAAGAACACATCCCAGACTCTGCAGGCCACGTCCAGAGGTAATGACTTACTGTACAGAGTGTACATCCTGCAGGGGCAAACAATTAAACATTAAAGGGATACAACTACAAGGTGTCACGGTCACTTTATTCATCATCGTCATCATCGTCATCGTCATCATCATCATCATCATCATCATCACAGAAAGATGTATATAGGACTACACAAACATGTGGCATAAAAATCTGCCCTGATTTTTAAGATGTTACATGCCATAATTATAATATAAAGGCATTTGAAGAGCCATGCTTTTCAGGGAACATTTTTTATCTGATGTTCTTCCACACTTGCATAATACAATGATAACGCTCACAAAAGAATTTTGGCCTCTTCCCAGAACTCAACTTTCTCTTTAATCTGATGAGAATGAGTAGACTTACCAGTCAATGATGTAGAGGTCTGGTGAGATACCAAGCTCATCAAAGTGAGCAAAGAGCCTTGGCAGATAGTCTTGTTAATACTCCTAACCCTAACCCTAACCCGTACCTTTAATCTGATGAGAATGAGTAGATTTACCAGTCAATGATGTAGAGGTCTGGTGAGATACCAAGCTCATCAAAGTGGGCAAAGAGCCTTGGCAGATGGTCTTGGTAATACTCCTAACCCTAACCCTAACCCTTACCTTTAATCTGATGAGAATGAGTAGACTTACCAGTCAATGATGTAGAGGTCTGGTGAGATACCAAGCTCATCAAAGTGAGCAAAGAGCCTTGGCAGATAGTCTTGTTAATACTCCTAACCCTAACCCTAACCCTAACCCTTGCCTTTAAACTGCTGAGAATGAGTGAACTTACCAGTCAATGATGTAGAGGTCTGGTGAGATACCAAGCTCGTCAAAGTGAGCAAAGAGCCTTGGCAGATGGTCTTGGTAATACTCCTAACCCTAACCCTAACCCTTACCTTTAACCTGATGAGAATGAGTAGACTTACCAGTCAATGATGTAGAGGTCTGGTGAGATACCAAGCTCGTTAAAGTGAGCAAAGAGCCTTGGCAGATGGTCTTGGTAATACTCCTAACCCTAACCCTAACCCTTACCTTTAACCTGATGAGAATGAGTAGACTTACCAGTCAATGATGTAGAGGTCTGGTGAGATACCAAGCTCATCAAAGTGAGCAAAGAGCCTTGGCAGATAGTCTTGTTAATACTCCTAACCCTAACCCTAACCCTAACCCTTGCCTTTAAACTGCTGAGAATGAGTGGACTTACCAGTCAATGATGTAGAGGTCTGGTGAGATACCAAGCTCGTCAAAGTGAGCAAAGAGCCTTGGCAGATGGTCTTGGTAATACTCCTCAAAAGAATTGAAATATGATTGCATCTGTGGAAGAAAGAAAGAAAAAATCAATTATGATGGATTAAATCTTGTTTAAAGTTAAGGTACTTGGTAAAATCGTTCAGATGAGAAAAATGGTAGTAAAGTAGTGACTTCAATGCTAGATGTACAATTTAAGATAATCTGAAAGTTTGAGTGAAAACATACCATTATTAATGATAACAATTTGGGAAAACTGATCTGATCAATTCCTTAATTCTCCCAACTATATTATTACAATTTAATTACATTTTAGGTGAATGTAAATGTAAATCGTCACAAAGCAATGAATTGGCTCTATAAGTGTTGAAAGAGTTTTAAAAGCCTGTCTTATGTCTTATTTTCATGGGGAAAAAAGAAAAAAGGTACAAGGATCACTGCAGACTTACAACTTGTTGATCAAGCCTAAAGAAAGCTAGCTGGCAAGATTTGTTGAGGAGGTTGGCGAAGCAAATGAAAGCATCAGCTACGTCTAGATACAGCAGAAAGACAGCTGCGATGAATGACATCCCTTGCACCTGTGCTCAAATAAAAAGGGAAAAAATGTTATAAAGTTCTTTTAACTAAATAATACGTCAGTTTATGTAGCTACTGCAAAATGGACTCTACTGCACATTACAAATTACATTACATATTTTTACTTCTGGATTGAACATAGTAATACAGTCATCCGCCTGGGTTGGATTTGAACCCACGATCTTTGGTTCGACAGACAGTCGCTTTACCAACTGAGCCAACTCGCCTCCTGACCGAGCTGATGACAGTCAATAGTACCAAGGAGATCCTTCCAAATAAGCCTAGGTTGCATACAGCGATGTCAATATTCACTGTAGGGTGTCAATATTCACTGTAGGACTTCACATCTGGGCCCGTGGCAAAAAATATTACCATTGATGGCAACAGATATGATATGCAACAGAGCCCAGGATTGAAAATATGCAGGGCTTGGGATAATTTTTCTACACCTTCCCTTTTTTAAATACTAGTTACTGAAAAAGCTATCCCCACTTCCTGCCCCCCCCCCCCCCCCCAAAAAAATAACTCATGTATTTTGCTTCTTTGGGTCAATTATTTTTAGAAGGTTAATTGCCATTTCTATTCAAATAGTCCATCATTCAGGTATAATGGTGTATATAATTGACTGGCTGGAATGCTCCCCGGGGAGTGGAGATTGTGCACACAGTATGTGCGGGCGAGTATTGAATCCAATGACCGGTGTAATATCAATCTGTATTAAGCCGCTTTATAGAGACATCGTAGATGAATTAAGCGCTTTATAATAAAATCAGAATATTATATTATTCAACACTGTTGTTTTTAATTTATTTATGAACAATAATTTGATAGTTTAATCACGACCTTAGTATCTCCTCTATCCTGAGGTTTAACTTACATATCCCACATCTGGTCTGTAGCATGCATAAGCTCCTAATACACCATGAAGCAGATCAAAGTAAGGACCTCCCTGTAGTAGATAAACACAAAGAATGCATCAAACTTATTAGATTTCAGGGATGACTCACATATTATGAATACATGTATTCACTATTGCATTATCCATGTATTGGTAAAAAAACAATTTCATACAACTCTTACTTTGCTTTAAAGGAATAGAGTATCTTTGCCTCAGATTCTAATCAAAATTCTGGATTTAGCTCACGCTACAATCATAATTAAAAACCTTTAGGTTAGTCAAGAATCCCATCACTTTTATAAGTCGATCACCTGTCTGATTATCAAGATATTTATGTTTGGAATTAAAAATGTCCAAAATCGGTTTCCAAACGGCTTTTATAACACTACAGTCTATTGGGGAAAATGAGTAATGGTATGGTAAAACCGGTCACTCAAAGATGTTTACTTTTTTGAAGCACTTCATGATCTTTTTGAAGCACAATTTTTTTAGGGCTTCAATATTACACCATATCACAGACACTGGTAACACATACATGTAGGGCCATGCATATCAGATTTGGCATTGTTAAATGATGCCTTTAATGATAAACCATCCCTCACGGCAAATGCATTACAGTACAGATAGTTATAGCAAATTCTGTTGCTGTTTCCAACTTTCCATTGGCTAAACTCCTAAAAATAGTAACCTCCAAACCGTAAACTGCAACAATCATGCCACTAACACACATACAATGTACATGTACTGGTAGACCGAATTTAATCATTGAAAGCTACATCGGTAATTAAACTGTCCTTCATCGTTTCACTTGCAACCTAATTGATCACATACTAATCCATCAAAGAGATTAATAGGTTGGTGGGGGTGGCGGGGGTTGGGGGGGGGGGGGGGTAATAAGGCCACGATCTAGAGGAGGTACCTTAACAATCTTTGCTCACGGATCAATTTACATGTATAGCAATTAAAGCCGCCATAAAAGTAACATTTGATGTCCAACTTAAAGCCTGCCTGCACTAGTTTAGCCAAGAGGGATTAGACCTCCCAGCGTGGTCACTGACAAAGGTGGTTATCCGATCAAATCAGCTCTCAATTAACATAAGAAAAAGGGGGCAATTGGGGAGCAATGGTCATCGATAAGGCATTGTTTGCTATATAGGGCGCAAGTAGCTATACATAGTGCAGTGGGGCTTTAAAACTTGAGACTAGAGAGAGTGGGTCTAGCACGACACGGAAGATCTTCTGTTTCCTATACATTTCGGAAACAAGTAAGCAAAGATTAGCCATAGGGGAGGGAGGGGGTTGGGCTCTTTTACATGAGGGCCTCATTAGCCCTCACCCCCCCCCCCTTCATCCTCCCCTATATGTTTCTACACCTTTCCTCATTACCATGACAATTGACACAGTTGCAAACACCCAACTTCATTTCCATCCAACCCTTTCAACAGCCCCTCCTCATACTCAAATGCACAATAAGTCAACATTAATTCATACATTGCGGCAATGTTTGCATTGCTGCCATACACCACTCAGCGCCCATCACATCGGCAACATTGCCTCCGTTCGATTCTCTCCTAGCTGTTTACCTTCTGAAATATACATAAATGCGGGAATGTCCTTGCTACATCTAGCTTGATAACATCGACGCTGTTCTCCCGACTGGCAGCATGGACTAGGTGAGGTAAAAAAAAGGGGATGAAATAGGTTAATTATAATTACAATAACCTTGATTCAATTCATCCTCTCATGTTACTAACTGCCTCCAGTAAATAGGAATAATACATTTTAACAGGCACCAACATTTCATAATTCAATTCATTGATTCTAAACAGGTTTTTGTAACTGAAAATCTTTATCCCATTTTAATAAATGTACGGTTATCTAGTAATTTGTGTTTTTCTTGAATTGAGGATAACAATTAATTTCAAATAATCACATTCTTATTAATAGCATGACCAAACAATCTTCTTTTTGCTATGATTACCTTTAAAAACAAATTGACAAAAAAAAATGTCCCAATTGGGCTGTATTTTCTAATCTACCTTGTTTTTTTATACATATTTAAAAATATTTATAATGATTTGTAATCATATACATGTGTGGTACTTTTTTCAGAGGATAAAAGGCATTCTCTCTTTGTCCACATATACCAGGGAACTGATAATGCCAACAACCTTCCACATAGCAATGATTAATATTTCAGGGAAACCAAGGGCCCTCTCTTATAAAGAGTTGCGATTGATCTCAATCAATCTCTATCTCTATCAACCTATCTCTCATTTATATACATGTAGTTGCGATTGATATCAATCGTAAATAAGCTGGGATCAATCACAACTGGGTCCCTGAAGACCATAATATAATCAAAACATAAGAAGCTTTCCTTTTGATGGTAAAAAGGAAAAAAATATAAACAACATCTTACAACTGGGTCCCTGAAGACCATAATATCGTCCTTGTTTTCACGAAGTGACGGTAGTGAGGAAAATCGTAACGCAAAGTGAATGCAATTTTTTTTCACTACCGTCACTTCGTGAAAACAGCGACGATATAATCAAAACATTAGAAGCTTTCCTTTTGATGGTAAAAAGGAAAAAAATATAAACAACATCTTTATATCAAGGAAGTATTGTCTCAGAAGCCAAGAACACAATAAATCATTAATAGATATAAACATAAAAAAGACAAAAACTATCCAAACTTAAAAAATAATCAAAATTTAATCTAGCAGAAAGATATATATATATATATATATATATATATATATACCAAAAAAATGGTATCATTAGTTATCATACACCCCAAAGTTAAATCAACACCCTACTGGTATCCAGCAGATAACATTCAAGTTAGGCCTGTCCTCATCAGCTTGAGATTGCCAAATATCCTGCTATTTTAACTATCCCAATCGCAAATCATCCAGTTACTTTGCGTCTTCATCAGCCCGAAGTTGTAATTAGCGGGATATTTGGTTGAGATAATCATCCCAAGATATCTTGGGCTAGTTTGCAAGATATCCCGCTATTTGTCTGTTGCGTCTTCACCAGCCCGAAGACTCCCACTATGCGCGAACACTGAGCAAAATATCTTGAGCTCGAGTTTCAAGTTTCAAGGTCAATCTCGAACTGATGAAGACGCGATATGTAACTTTGGGATTATTTCCAAAATCAAAAATAGCGGGCTATTTGGCAATCTTGAGCTGATGAATACAGGCCTATTGAGTAAGAATTCATTCAAAGCCTTGAATGATGATGTCATGCTGTCTACGATACAGCTGGCTTTCACTGACTAAATTCAATCAAGACCCCAGGAATCGATTCAAGCCATTCAAACTCATACAAGTACGTGTTACAAGCATTATTTTTTCCTATGGCCAATTTGCCCAATGCTCTAGAATGCTTTTAGGGGCATGCTAAGGCTTGTTCAGATATGGCCACAAAAAAAAGAAATAATGTTTGTTTTTACGTTTTAATGAATGGCAACTGCGAGCAACAGAGATCCTGCGCACATTCACTGAGCTCTGTGTTACAAGGTGGGTTATGTGAAGCATATCATGCTTTACGTCATCATAACAAAAGACAACCATGCTTTTGGCGCGTCATATCTAACGCATCTCAACATGCCTAAAGTCTCAGTAAAGTCTTGTTCAGATATGAGCTGGTAAACCACAGCGTTTTTTTTTTAAAGACTGTCAACACTACTGGGCCAGAAGGGATTAGACCACACAGCGAGGTCACTGACAGGTGGCTATCTCATTAACTCAGCTCTCAACTAACATAAGAAAAAGAGGATCATGGGGGACCAACAGGCACCGATTGGGGAAGTTTTCTATATAGAGGGAGCAAGTAGCTACAAGTAGGACAGTGGGGCTTTAAAGGATGAAATTTATTTTTAAGAGCGGCAGCTTTTTTTCCCAGCGGTTTATGACGTCATATCTGAACGAGCCATCAGTTTTTCTCTAGCCCATTCGCTCGGGCGCTCTTGAATGCGGTAAGCAGCATGTTGTCCTCTGTAACTGAATTTGTCTGGGCTGAAATGGAATCATGAGGGGCTAACCTCCTACATGAAAATGTCACTGGAATTTTGATTGCTCGTACAGGGAAAAGTTTGTACTATTCCTTCATACAGTATGTACCTTGTTTATCCATTAAAACCCTTGGGACGTGTGAAATGATGTTTTACACAGAGTTAGCCCTCATTAATGTCTTTTGATACTTTGCATTAATTGGCATTTTTCTTTTCCAATCATTGTTTCTCGTTTTTACAATATCCTCATGGAAAGGTTAATAGCTGGACTACGTCATACAGTGTGACTGAAAAATAAGTAATAATTGTGCAAGAGTTCTTTGGAACTGGGAAATGGATGTGTTCTTTGGGAATTAAATATGTATTCATGGATAATGGCTTCACCACACTACTTACCAGTGGTATTAGTGTTCATACAACCGTATGGGTACACCAAGCTGAGAGATCATTTTATTTTCTCGCATCTCTCAGAAAAAATGCAGTATCAAATGAGGATTGTCTGTGTCTTTGTGCAAGCATAGATCCATTATATTGTTTTAAAAAGTTGGAGTGGGATGTTTGAAAAATTCCACAAAATCCATGACAAGAAATTAAAGGAGAAAAGTTAATCATCACATTTGTCAAAAGCCTTTGGGGTCTACTAAAATTTGAAATGAAGGGTACAATTACAATTTTTTTTTTTTTGGGGGGGGGGGAGGCCATGTCTCAGTAGTGTACTAAAGGTAGGTAAGAGTCATTGTTTTTTTTGTAAAGAGGGTGCAAGGGCTGTTTGTGTCATCCTAAATCTATCAATGATAACTCGGTTTATAGATCTGGGGTGTATCAGCAAGAAGTATTAAAGACAATAAACAGAGTTTTCTTACTTTCTTCAAGACCGATGCCCTCTGACTCTGACTCACTGCATATCCTGATTCTGTCTTTGGCACGGATTAGGAAGATCTCAAACAATTCTAGAGAAGGAAAAATAAATACGACAAATGATAATGATATGAATTATAAAGGGGGATAATTTTTTTGCACATACTTTTTAGAATTGTTAAGTACAACTGTTCTACTTATAATTGCACAAACTTGATTTTGCAAAAAATAATGAAAATTTAACCTATCATATCATTAAATTTACACAACTTTCATGCATGCAAGTTTCTCATTGTAAAGTACTTGGGAGATAAATTATCATGATTTTTCATGGCCTACCAATTCATTGAAGTGGCAATATACAAGGATGCCTGTTAGAATTGATCTGAATCACCTAAAATGAGCCATTTTGTACACAAAAAAGCCTAAACTATGGCCTGAAAATAAATCGCCAGGGTCTGAATTCAGGAATTTGCCTAAAAACTGGCATCTCGGAATATATACGGTACTTCATTATTTGGGAATCACCATGAAGAAAACATCACCATTTCAACAATGAAATCTAATCTCACAGAACGTAACAAAAGGCCTGTTTTCATCAGCTTGAGTTTGCCAAATATTTCTATTTCAACTATCCCACAACTATCCCATGAAATTAGCAGGATATTTGGTCGAGAAAATATCCCTGAGAAATCTTGGTCATGTTTCCAAAATATCCCGCTATTTGGGAAATAGCGGGCTAATTTGCGCCCGGCACAGCTAGTTTGTGATAAGCGTACCCGCTGGTGAAGACGCAACTTCGAGCTTCGGGATAATATCCTGAGTCTGAAAATAGCGGGTTATTTGGCAAACTCGAGCTGATAAAGACGGGCCTATTGAATGAATGTAATGTAATGCCTAGCTACTCACCGTGAGTGATATTGAGTTCGTTCTTGATGGCCAGCATCCAGACACGCCCTCTGATACTTGGGGGAACCCCCTGCCACCAAATATCCCTCGTCTTCTTGTGCTTCTTACTGCAAAGAAAACAAAAATTGTCCGCATATTAAAGTACAATACATCATGGTTTGGTTTGATACAGCCATACCTGCTTTAGTGACCACCTGTCTACAAAGACCACATTTATTGTGCCCCTTCGGAATGGTTTCTCATTGAAACATGTACCAAAGGTACCTGTCTACAAAGACCTCTTTTTGTGTTTCCCTTGGGCGGTCGCTGTAGACAGGTTTGAGTGTAGTTTGTTTTACCTGACTGCTAGTAAAGCATGTGTATGCTTGTAAGTATTAGCGACCAGGGGACCGACGGCTCTCTGAGGGCCTTGGTAATGAGGACTAATGCCTTACCAAAGAGCATAAGCGCATCGACTTGGTTTCAAACTGGGACCTCCCGGTTACGAAACCACTGCTCTAAAGTACAACTGAGCCATCACGTCTCCTAGAATAACATAACAATTTATATCCATATACAATCAATAACAATTACAAATAAAATACTAAAGCAGTCAAACGTCACCTAAGGGAGACACAAATAGTGGTCTTTATAAGCAGGTGGTCTTAACACACAGGCTTCCTGTACCACTTATTTCAATGAGAACATAAGTTCAAATGAAACCAAAAATTTGGTCTGGAGACAGGTGGTCTTTATATAGAAAATATCACTAAAACAATCAGGTTTCAATAATAATAGGCATTTACCGGTATTTAGCGCTGTCTATCTAATAGATTCTATTCCGAGGCGCACAAATTAGTTATTACCCTGGCTTTAGCCTAGCTACCATTACAGCGATCTAGCATTTCAAGGAATTAATTCCTGCCAGGTACCCATCACTCTACTTCGATTTTTAATCAAAAATCAAAAGTCAAAAGCCATTTCAGAACATTGATATGAAGTTTACATGTATTCCTCCTGACGTGATATATGATTATGGAACTTATCAACCTTTATTTATATATAAAAAGGTTTTCTCAATATACATTTATTTTTATAATGTACAAGTTCGCACTGAATACATGCTGTAAATCTTGCTGTGCAAGGGGGGGGGGGGCTAACTACAGATGGGAAAAACAAACCTTGAGTGGCAGTTGATTCACGTACATAATGTAATTGTGAATATTTCAGGGGTGAAACAACATGAAAGAATTTTTGAGTTGTAATTCACAACGAGCCACTATAATCGGATATATTCACAGCAGGACAATATAAAGTGGATAAACATGCTTTGTATTTGTCAGCCAGAAAAAAAGATCAAAATCTGTGGGCTTTTGTCAGGCTATTTTGATGGCTTTTTAAAATTTGCTGACCCCTATTGAGATTAGAGAACAAGGGGGAGAGGATGACGCAGGAAAGAAAGAAAATCATGTTTTGCAGGACTGGTGTGATTTCTCAGATTTGATGCATATAAAAGGTGCTCTGTATTGCTTCATACAAATCAAATGCTACATGTACAGTGTAGGAGAGAAATAAGTATTTAACTAATAAGTGATATACCGGTAAGTTCTTTTAAATTTCAGAACTCATCATTAAAGTTTGTATACATGGAATTAATTAGTATACACAAGAATTTTATCTAGAATTCTAGATATACAATGTACACTACTACACGTAGTACGGCATTGACAGCAGTCTGGGAGTGAAGTAGGGGAAGGGGGGGGGGGGGAACAAGTTCCCTGTGATTTGGGGCTTAGCCAAATTTCCTAAACACACCGTACCCTGAGGCCTGAATGTCTTAAACTATTATAGACTTTATAGTTATATTCATAATTCTGTATCTTATCAAGTTATGTGATCTTAGTTTAATGCTTTAGGTTCAATATGTTAATGTTGTATAGATATATTGTACCTTCCTTTGTATGTATAGGGCCATGAGCGTTATGCCTGAGGAACCTGGTGCGCAACTGGGTAAATATTGACTAAAAACATGTACAATTACTGTACGGTATGTCATACTGTGCCCTGGGCCAAAGTTGAGAACTTAATCTTTTTCTTTGTCTGAGATATTTTTTTAAGACACAAATGTATGCCCCTACTCCAGGGAATAAATACACGGGCTAATTCGCCCAAGCCCCCAAAAGTTATAAAAGAGCCCCCCAAAATTTGCATTAAGTTCAATGCAAAACAAATTATGGTAAAGAGTGTTTTTTTCATGCAAGCAAGCTTGAAAAGTAGCCCCCGAAATTTATTAAATAATTTTTTCCCTGCCCTACCCTGTCAAAGAATCCTGGATACGCCACTGTACCATATATACATGTACATACTGTAACTCTCAGAAGAAGAGGAAATAAATGCATGTTTGGTATGACCTCTTTGCATCATAACAAATGCTTTTGAAGTGACTCACTGAAGTACATGTCATTCATTATGATCACAAAACTTGAATAGTTATAGCTCCACTCCAGGCATTTGTGGCTCACGTGATAAATACTGGCTATTTGATAAAGGTAATTAAATCACATGGTTGCTAAGGTCACGTGATAGCACACAACATAATGCAGAAGATGTTGTAGAACAACTTCTTTTAATCATCGTATCTGATGTTTGAGTTTTTTTTAAAACAATTTGTATTTATTCATCAATTCTCTTATCCCTTGTTTACTTATTAATATAACTTATAAGGCTGTGCTCTTGTTGGTGCCTTCTGCTTCATATGATTACGAAATATAAGATTGCATTATTTCAATTTTGCAAATGATTTGGAAATTAAACCGATTTTCATTCGTCCCAATCGACAGGATCAAAAGGATTACATGTACCAGTATAAGAAAACATGACACATACTTTTTATATGGCATGGTACAAATAAAAATCCATCTGAAAAATTACCTCATGTATAAAAATATTATTATTTTCTCTATTCAGATCAAACTTCTTTTGGCTTCCATTCTTGCCCATGGTACATACATGTATATCTCTAAAGTTATCTTTGCTCAACAAAAGAGAACAGAGCAGTCTGATAGATATCTCTCTTCATAAATATTGAATTTGAACCTTATGCTAACATGTACTGGTTTACGAATAGGTTCAAATGACGGCCATATAAACTATAAAGTGTTATTTAACTAAATACCAGGAAATGTATAAATAGATTATGCCTGGATGCATTCTATAATGTACCATTTCTATCACAGATAAATGTGCACATTGTCTAAGGAGAGACAGAAGGCCATTACACCTAACTCTGAGGGATTTCTTTTTTGAGTAAGCGCCTTTACTGGCTCTCAGCAGATAACATGATAATAACAATATGATAATGATAACGATAATAATATGATGATGATAATATAATAATGATAATAAAATGATAATGAATAATAAGATAAACCACTGAAGAAGTTCTGATAAAGCTTCATTATAAGGGGATCTTGGGGAAAGAATGACTTAAAAGCTCAAATCATATGTAAGGTTATTCCTTTAATCGGATTTTCTTATATTAGGTGCAGTAGCAATTTATCATGTGTACAGTACAATGATCAAACTTTAATCTATCTTACATGTACATGTAAATAATTACAAGAGGTCGTCTCTACACACAATCATAAAACGGTTATGCAGTGTTATGATCCTCTATTAAATCATAAAATTTGTCTGTTTTAAGATATTGACAATCTAATTCTTGTTGCATTATTTTGTATTCACCCTGTAGGTCTATATATTCAGATCTTGAGCATGCATGCATTGTATGGGTAATAACTGGATATAGTTGCATGTAAAATAACCACACATTAAATGCAAGGATTTAATCACTTTGTGGCAGCACTATTTTATTTCAATTTTTCTGAGCCAATTCATTTCCTGATGGCTTTAATTTCAAACAAACATGTTGACCATATAAGCTTTGACATTTTCTCTCTGTAGTATGATTTACCTTTGCTTTCATTGTTAAATGTGTACATGGATTACTACATGTACAAAACTAATAAATGTGATGTATTACGCAATTACTAAATATACTAGCAGGACCCGCGGAAATCCGCGGGATTCGATCTAGAGGGGGGCGGGGGGTGTAAATAGATATATAGAGACTGCCTAAATTAAAACCACCAAGAACTTTATTTGCCATTCAGGCCATTAAAAAAATATACATGTTTAGCGTCCCCGCCCGCTTCCTTTTTGGGGGCCGCCTCCTATTTTTTTTTTTTGAAATTTTTTTGAAATTTTTTTTTTTTTTTTTTTTGAAAGAAAAAAAAAACAGCGTCCCCGCCTGCTTCCTTTTTGGGGGCCGCCTCCTATTCTTTTTTTTTAAAAATTATATTTTTTTATTTTTTTTACATTTTTTAAAAAAAAATTTGTAAATTTTGTTTATTTTTATTTATTTTTATTTTTTATTTTTTTGAAAGAAAAAAAAACAGCGTCCCCGCCTGCTTCCTTTTTGGGGGCCGCCTCCTATTTTTATTTATTTATATATTTATTTTTATTTTTATTTTTTTTTTTGAAAGAAAAAAAACATGAAAAGCACTGCTAAAATGTATTTCTGATTTTAAAAAAGAAAAAAAAAAATTGTCGGCCGCCATCTTGAAAAATAGCCAGAATGTCAGGGAAAATGTACGGAGCGGCCATTTGAAAGAAGAAAAAAAAAAAAGGGCCTCCTCCTTCCCATTTTTCGAAAAAACAGGACGCTAAACATGTTTTGTTTTTAATTTGGCCTTATATAAAAAAATTAAAAAAAACGATCCAACTGTACCTGTAGTTATTCTTTAAGCCACTGGAACTGCGTAGAGTTCCGTAGTGTGGCGTACCGACTACGCAGAAATTAGGCTGCGTATTAATGGGAAAATAGTCCCTGCGTAGGTTATGCGTAGGCTGGCGTACAGGTTTGCTTATATGGTTGCTTACTGTGTGGAAAGCTTTTACTGCTTTGACGATCTGGCGTAGGGTAGCATAGTGTTGCGTAAAAAGGCGTACTTTCTGCGTCAAGTTTCTACGCTGAAAGTACGCGAAAAAAATTAAACATGTTGACTTGTTTTCGTTCATCTTGCGTACCCCTTTCTGTCCCTCAGCATATAGTAACGTAGGCCAGCGT